AGGTCATTTTGGTCCAGATTGTCCCATTCCTGTTGCAACGCAGCAGCAAGTTCTTGGACATTGGCAGGACGTTGTTGACGTTGACGTAACCTCTGTCCAAGCATGTCCCAGACATGCTCGATGGGGGAGAGGTCGGGACTCAGTGCTGGTCAAGGTAATGTGGTGATGTTCTGTTGTTGGAGGTAACCTGTAACGATCCTGGCCCTGTGACATCTTGCGTTGTCATCCTGGAAGATGAAACGGCGGCCATGACGTCGTGCGAACGGCACAACATGGACTGCCAAGATGTTGTCCCGGTAGTACTGGCCTGTAACACGCCCTGCAACAACATGTAAAGCCGTTCTTCCAGCAACAGTGATGCCTCCCCACACCATAACAGAACCACCCCCAAATCGATCATGTCTGATGACGTTAACGTCTTGGAAGCGCTCGTTTCGACGACGCCACACCCACCTACGTCTGTCCAAAAAATCAACAGTGAACCTTGACTCATCTGAAAACATCACATTGCTCCAGCGTCGATTATCCCAGTGTTGACGATCCCTACACCAACGACGTCTTGCCTGAATGTGATGATCTCTCAAACAAGGGATCACGCGAGGACGTCGGGCGCGAAGGTGACCCCTATGCAGTCGATTCCGAATCGTCTGGCCACTCACTCTCACACCAGTGTCTGTTTGAAGACGAGCGCTGATCTGATTTGCTGTGATGACACGATTTCTCAAGGCCAAGGTACGGATAAATCGATCCTGGGCTTGAGTTGTCGCCCTTGGTCGACCTGAGCGTGGTCTGTCTTGTACAAATTGTGTATCACGGTATCTGGACCATAGCCTGCTTATGACAGACTGAGAAACATTCATCGTCCGCGCCACAACCGCCTGTGTTGTGCCGATCTGTAGCATGCCAAGGGCACGTAACCTTTCATTTTGGGTAAGCCGACGCATATCAAAATTTGTTTTCTGGTCACTAAAACAATTAAACTGATGTTTCCACCCTGGAATTCAATGCCACAATGACTGTAACATTCAAAGTCAGAGTCGTGCAAATCTTGGGTTGGACCCCCATGATGATCCCAAGCATCACCTGCATTCCATACGGTAGCTATTGGTGCGTTTGGGCGTCACATGTAACTGGAAATGTTTCTTCTGTTAGGTTCTATAGTGACTTTTTTCGTAGTCATTTGCATATTTTAGTATTATGCCCCGAAAATCAAATATCCCCTACTTTTTTTGAATAGTATATCAAAATAATCAAAATTCCCCGTGATGCTAGCTCACCAATCTGATTAACACACAGATCTATATTTCGTTTCTTTTTCTTATACTTTCGATGGCCTCTACTACATGAAGATCGGACCAGTTGTAGTGGGAGGTCGTGGTCGTGTCAGGGGCCAGACGAGCGGCGTTTGACCCTATGACGTCAGACATTTGGTTAACCAATCAACGTTGAAGTTTCTATTGGCATACCAACAGTTCGGTGCATCGCATGCTCAGAACTCGCTGCAACTGTCTCATTGGCTAATGCCTCACATCAACCAGAACGGGGATTATATAACAACTCTTGCAGATCCTAGTGTAGTAAAGATAAGTAAAACGAAATTTTGAACTATCAAAAACGAAACGAAGTAGGATCTGTGTTTTCATCAGATTGCTACCTCACTAAACAGAAGTTCCCCGGGATTTTCCAGCGTGGTTTCTTGTCAGTTGTGTAGTGAGGAGGGTCTGGCAAGGAACAGTGTCTGGTCGTTTAGATAGGACGAACAACCTCGACAGTTGCAATTCTGTGTAAACTAGTCCGTGGCACCGCTGAAAGGGCAAACTTTCCCTCATAACTGTATGGCGTATTGTATGACCGTTTTCATTAATCAAGTTGGTGCAAATATTCCGTAAACAAACCTCCTCTTTAATATTTTAATGTAGAAGAGATATGGGCATATATTTAGCAATCAGTTATCTTTTGTAATCATGGTCTACTGTCACTGTTCTTACCAGATTAATTACCAGTGATAAACTACAAACTGTAATATTTAACTTCCTGCATGAAATTATATATATATATATCTACTGATTCAATTCAACATAATATCAATGGATAAAAAATGTTGGATTTGTACTGAATACACAATCTGTTTCATAGCGGAAAATATTGGATTTGTACTGAGCTCAATCTATTTCATAGCGGAAACTATTGGATTTGTATTGAATGCTCAATCGGTTTCATAGGGGTAATGCGAAAGCCTTCTTTTAACTCTGTACGGAATGTCACGCTCATTATAGTTCTACGTGTGACGTCACATCATGCGAGATCGATAACACGTGCGTTGTTTACATCGGACGTATTAGTACAAACTGGTCCGGGCGGAATTTGCGGCTGTGACTCAGTTTACGCATCCGCGTACTATTTTATGTACCCATGCAATCTAACAAGGAAATATTTTGTATCCATATATTCGTCAAACACCTTTATTTATTTATTTTTCTAATAATTTAAATAATTGGTTTGGGGTTTAAATTTGCACAAGAAATAAGAGATACTATTGAAAGCTAATTAAGCAAATATTTACTGCGGATCAGTTTGCTGAATGCCTTCCATAAAAGCTTAGAGGGGCGGGGCGGGTGTAAGAGGCCCCTAAGCCTGGACCTTGAACAACTGTAAATAATGCTTTCTAGGGTATATCCTGGTATACTCTAAAGGGCCCCCGAAGTTAAAAAAAAGGTCCTACCAATTACGTAAGAAAATTATCTTCTATAGGGGAACACGAGCCTACCATACTCTCAGACTCCTTCTCAGCCCCATCCTAGGTATCCAAAGTGGTCTTATTCTGGAATGGGACCACTAGGGATACCGTGGATGTCCCAGTCCATCCCTGATAACAATCTCCGAGTCACTTATATTTTTAATAATAGTGGGTTTTTTTTTGTAAGATTTAAAAAGGATGTCATAATGTAATGTCTTATATTTGTATTTGTTTGTTCTGTTATAACTCCCATACTTCTACTGGAACAGGTAGTTCTGAATAAACTATTATATACTGAACGGTGTACAGGTCATACGTATATTAATACTTCGTCTCGTTTTAAATTCTCGCTTGTTTCAAATTTATATTTTATTGTGAGATACTGATGACGGGTTTTGCCCTGTTTGTTTCATTTCGTGGAAATATATTCTGAGAACTGAAACTAAGAGAGTCTAGTCTAGTACTTAGTATTTAACATTTCCTGTAAAATCCGAATAAATTTCCATCCCATATTTACCAGTTAGTTTTAAAGATGTATTTATAACGAAATGAAACGAAATAGTATTCAACGTCCTCGACTTGGGTAATAAAGACGGACGTATAACGTAAGATTCAAATTAAGTGCAGGCCTTTCTGGCTATAATAGTTCAAAAATAGATAATGAAAAAAGAATACATTGACAAGATAGTCTCGATTGTCAAATATCATTACTACGATAATAAACAAAATGTGGAGTATCGATTTGAACGTTCAATTATTAAATAGCGCGAGTGTTCTAGTCCCTTCAATATCTAAGCCAACCGATGGCCGATATAGAGAGTTTATTATGGCTTATCATGTGGATACATGTCTATATAATAATTTATATAAGATTTGAAGCAAGTAAAAAAGACCTGCAATAGGCAGATTTAGCTATTACATAATATATAATCTGATATATTTTACTGGTTGATTGTATGTGAAAGCTTACAGAGGCCATGTATATTATCCAATTCTTTTTGAAGCCCTGTGACACTTTTCGAAGTAATCAAAGTTTCGGTTTCGTGTCTGGTTAGGAATTTGATTTAAACTTTCTCAGATTCGAAGACATATAAATATCTGGATAACCTCGGCTATACAGTTGCCGTAATTAAAGTGGTGAATTCTGTGACGGTCGCCTTTATCACGTCAGTCATCAACACTGAAATTCATTAACTGAATTACGTAATCCCGTTAAGCATAAATACCCAACTTTGGCGACCGCTCAATATTTTTAGCTGTAACTTTCGGGGTAATTGGGTCATTTCTTCTAATTTTGGCCTTTGATTTGCTTACTTAAACCCATTTTTATCAACGGATATCCTGTGAAATGAAGGACTCCTTCTTTAAACTATAGAATTTCATATATCTATCTGTCCTATGGCACCACCGCTGCACTAAAGCTCTTTGCGTAGAATAGTGGGGGGTAGGGGTTTGTTACGTAAAAGAATTATATCTGAAATGAAATGATCAGGTTTAACATCCTATTTTTATGCACCAACGGAAATAATAAAGTTGGGCGAATGCCATATTAAGTGTGCTATGAGGGAAATGTTATTGGGACAGTGACATGTCATCCTACTCTTATACGTGCACGCCAACGTGTCTGCGATATCACCTCGGTGGAAGCGGACGTAAAATACAACTAACTCAACAAACGTGTAAAAGGGGTGTCGATTTTTCATCCCATCCAAATGATCACTGGACGCTTTTAAGATTATATTTACTAAAATAAAAATCCTTTACATCAGTCACTCAGAAATTCGAGGGTTCGGAGATGATTTTAAAATTGGGTATTGTCAATTTGAAAGGATTTTATGTTAATTCACAAAACTTGGAAATGTGTTGCTAACATCAACCAATAACGGACCCAAGTAGAACTAGCTGACTGGGTGTTAAAACCGGCCAGGACATCTTTCACCTAATTGATCGGTCCATGTTGTCGGTAGTATTTGTATCCACCCAGCATCTCAGTTTTACCTGGCGTTTCCAGCATACTCTAGGCATTGCTTGAATGCCCGTGCCCCGTATGACCACCCCCCTCACAACCATCCCCCAGGTTCCAATAAAAGAGTCTATTATCATCCATCAAAACCTATATAATCACGACGTTTTATATTCCTAAAGCCATTATTAATCGTGTCAGCAATTAGCTCCATTTCGAATTAAGTCGCAGTTAAATTCGCAATTTAGACATTATTATGCAGAACTGCAAAATAATAAAATATAATTAGCTCAAACTCACCTTTGGTTTTAAATATTTAATAGTTCCATTTTAAACATCAAAGTTAACATTTTAAAATAACAATTAAACAGCTAAATTCTCTTAACACGCACTGAACATATGAACAATTACACCACTGCCTTACTTATCTTTAGACTATGTGTAGCTTAGTGTATACTTTGAAGCCGGACACAGTAAATTACGTATACAGGATACGCCCCCTTGATGTAGTCTTTAAATAAATGTCTTAAACGAAACTTTCAATCCACACAAATAACAGACAGCCGTATAATATATCTGTTCATTTTAAGCATCCATTACTCACGATGGAGTTCAGATAAATTTTTCAGAGTCTTTTGACAAAGATACTAAATAGCATGAGTCAAGTTTAATCGACGAGCAAATAGTCACGAACAACGCGCCATCTACTGACGTAGTCTTTTGTCGTCTGCTTTATCGACCAATTGCATAATGACCGATAAAAAATCGAATACACGCCTGGTAATAATTTTAGTCCCCTCTTGTAAAGAGAGATTAGATGGAGAGAAATGGGGTTTAAGGTCCACTCGGAATAAACTGGGTCATTTCGGGACTAACAAATGGTTCAATTTTAATTCAATAATTCACTTGCACATAGGTGTCTTAAAACTTGACGGGAACCGAACTAAAACCAACGAGATTGGACAGGCGATCCTATTTTTTGTAACAAACTTGTGACTAAAAAACATCGCACTGCTTAACTCAAAATAGACCTATTGACCTAAAGCTCACGCTTAGACGACTCAACCACCGAATCCCACTGGCTTTTGTAAACTAACTGATAGAACTTTTACACATTTCGTGCTAAATTTGGGTTCAGAATAAAGCAACATCGTAAACTGTTATCCTGCCAATGTAACAGTCAATTAAAGAACCCGTTTTTCTTTTAACACAGTACCGTAAGTCAGTTTATGGGGGGCTGCCATGGTTTGATTTCTATTGGACTCTTGACAGCACACAATTTCCAATTAGTTTGGCAAACACAAGCCGAATTAGTTCCATCCACCACCATATATCCAATATAACCGACACCAATTTGGAGCAAAATTATATTGGGGACATTTTTCTGACCATGGCAAAATTGTACTAGTTATTGTTCAGAGAACTAGCCTACTACCATCTGGACTTGGCCAAGGATTCACATATCACCGATTCTCAGGACCATAAACAAAAGCATAACATCCACTTGCCTCAATCTGGGTCATTTCGAGACTAACATCTGGTACAATTTCATTTCAAGGATTGGCTTGGAGAGAGAGAAATGGGGTTTAACATCCATTCCACACAAACTAGGTCATCTTAGGACTAACATGGTTCAACTTTATTTCAATAATTCGTTTGCGCGTAGGGGTCTTTAGCAGTGGAAGGAAACCGGAGGACACGGAGAAAACCCACAAGGTTGGTCAGGTGACCCTACTCCTCGTCACGTACAGCTGGGGAATCAAACCCACGCCAGTTGACTCAATGACAGACCTTAGGATACAACACACAAGCGCAAACCATTCGACTATCTAGCCCTCCTAATTGGCTTGGGCATAGGGGTCTTTAGCAGTGGGATGGCAATGTAGGAAACAGAAAAATCCCATGAGGTTAGAAGGCACGAGGTTGATTTTCAAGACTGTAAAGAAAACTTTTGTAATTCAACAATACCATGTTTTTAATATATTCTTTATTTTCCTAAAATCTGGATAATATCTGGTGATATCAAATAATTACTGATGTCTTCCATGGCAGAAACAATACATGTATTATATATTAATATATTATATACATCATAAATATAAACATAAAAAGATTTCCTATACTCCCTTAAATCATGAACCGCATCAATAACGTTCAGAGGTCCATGGTTTCATCAAGTGTCTGAGCTTATTACCGTAACAATCAAAGGTATTAATTATTTATGTGGGAGGTTTAAAACGGTTATCATGATATTAATTTAATTAAATGATTTAAAATCAACTAAGCTAAGGTATATATGTATAAATATAGAGATTAGTACTACGTTGGGAAAATATGGGATACTGGTTATTACGACGCAAACTGGGGTACTGTATTACAAAAGATATGGCTACCTTACAGCCAAACTCCCATATTTCTTTAAAAGTGGAATTTGTTTAAATATCGTTTCTGCCTGACCTCCTGAATTCAAAGATAGTTTTTTTTCTCAATTCATCTTCACAATTTCGAAATTACGAATACTACACCATGAGTGCCAATACAGCTACACATATTTTTATATATATAATTATATACAAAATTTCGAAATTACAACTGTTAGGAAATTTACATATTAATAAGTTATCTGCCCATAATGAGTCACAATGACCGCCAGGGGGCAGCACAATGAAATGTGTTACTTACATCAACATAACAATAAAAAACCAACAAAAAAAGCTCCTAAAAATGAAGTTTACAAGGAGAAAAAACAACTGTCATCACATAAAAGTTCATTTTTCACAAAGATGTGCCTTGTCTACATGTTTGTAACAATTAAAAACTTCTACTGCAGATCATACTCTAAACATAGCATTATAGTCAGGTAGAATTATTACAGTTAAATCATCCTAGCTTTTTTCTATAACTGTTTTGTTCTAGACATTAGATGTACATGTTCAACTTTAATAAAAAGCTTATCTTTTTAAAAAAAAAAAAACAACACAAGATAATCAAGTCAAAGTGGCTATAATTCAAAGCTGATGAAAAATATGGTGAAATATGTCACACTCTTTCTAACAGAACTGTACAATCAGTTAACGGTTTTTTTCAACAAAAAATCATGTTCTATCCCCAGATCAAGCTTTAATTTCTAACAAGCAATCACACCAAGTTCTAGCATTGTTTACAAAGACAACATACGGACAAAATCTCTTCAGCAATTCTGTTAGAAAAAAATGTTTTAAAAAAATAAATCTCAATTAAAAAAGTTGGGATATTATTGAAAGCAGTAAAGCGATTTCTGATGTAATTACATAATATATATATATTGTTAAATTCGATATAAGCAAGGTGAGGAGAAGGAATCTTAAATTGTGAGCACTCAAAGACGAAATAGTTGAAATCAATAACAAAAATCACCAAATGAACAGATACAGATACTTTCACTAGAAAAATTCATCATACTAAGTCATCATGCACACAGACACACAATTGTCTTCATACCAGTTAAGAGCTTAAGTTAGGGTATTTACAAATCATGAAATGGCAAAGTAATAGTCTTAACATCCAAAAACTCAATGAATAATGCAAGTAATTAATACAGTATCAAACATTGCTTATGAACGATAACAAAGCAAGCGTTCTATATTTAATTTGAGATATTTCAAACATTTTGCATCATAAGGGGTATAATATATTATATGCTTCCTAATACAGATTTTTAGAGATTATTTTTTTGATGAAATATTATATTCAAAATCTATTTTGGATATCAATCTTTTTTTTTTTAATTCTTCAAGCCATATTCTGAAGAAATTCTGATTTGGAATGACAATTTGAAACTAGGACAAAAAGAATCGTAGTATTTTGTGAAATTGCAGGAGTCGGTTCTACGTACATTTTAAACTCTCGACCTCAAATACAACACTTAATTGATAATATGGACAAAAAGATTTTCATTTCATTTCTAAGTTAAAGTATTTTCTTATTTGCCATAACAACTATTCACAAAATTTATTACATCTATGTACAATCAACAGTGCTCATGGAACAAATTCCTATCAAGTTTCAATTTTATTTCCATGAAATCTGATTACTAATCACAAACATTATTATCAACAAGAAAACAATGAACCACAAGCAGCATCTCAGCAAAAGCAAATATCCAATGCATCTGACATCCGATATGAACATCATAGCCTTAACCAGGACTCTGTTTAGGTTTCATCATTCAGACAATATCACCCAAGATTCGTTTAACAAAGATGTACCAACTGACGAGAAATGTTAAATCCTACTAAATTGTGAGCGTTTGATCACAAGGTCTGTTATTTAGTCAAGTGCCGAGGGTTTTGAATCCCTGCTTATACGCCACGAGGAGTAGGGTAGACTGTCCAACCTTGTGGGTTTTCTTCGGGTCTTCTGGTTTCCTTTCATTGCTAAAGACCCCTATGCGCTAGCAAATTATTGAAAAAAAATTGAACCATGTTAGTCCCAAAATGACCTAGTTTGTTTCAAGTGGACGTTAAACCCTATTTTTCTCTCTCTCTTTATCGTTTGTGGGTCTGGATTTAATGGTACAACACAAGTGATTGAAAATCAAAGCCCTAGTTCCTACAATAGCCTTTAACTGGGTTCAGCTAAACAACTTACAACACGATTCCTAACAATTCAATTTATCATTTTCATATTTTTTTTTTGACCGGTCTTCGATAGCCGAGGCACAGCCGAAATGTAGGACCTTAAACCCCATTTCTTTTCATTTCATTTATTTTTCGAAAAGTTATAAAAGTATTGGATGTCTGCTTTTTGAAATTGTGAAAAATCTGAATAATGTGAAGAAGCTAGGTAGTTATAGAGCCTATAATATAAATAAAACATATCTAGATATACATCTAGATAAACCACATACAGAAACAAACATTGATAATACACATACTAGATTTGCATACCTCTTAACATCATTTACATAACAAGCATCAGATAAACAAAAAATATAAATTCCCCGCCCCATGGCCATAAAAAATGGTATTAAAGAACATCTTGGTTATTTATTTTGCTAATCATATAGGTAGGACCATGAAAAAATACTCTTAAAATTTATCATGTTGCAAATTCTAGCCAAAGTCTGCCCTCTTATATTGTGTATTGACTGGTGTAATGTACGAGGCAGGATCAACCAAATTTTAGAAGACCACAGTCAATTGCATGCATTTAGCATAGCATTTCACTACCAAGAGAAAGAAATCTGCACTTATCAGATAATAAATCTAGTTATTCTAAAATGGATTTAATTGGAAGCAGGAGTGGTATGGTGTATGAGGAAGGGTGTGCTTTTAATATTTTTGACTGTCTACCACTGCTGAATTTTGTCCACAACTAGGTTCTGTTAGGAGTGGGCGATAATGAAAAAATTATCGTGATAATAATTTCCCAAATAACATGATAAATGATCTACAAGGCAGTGACAGTTGCGACTGGATTAAATACTGTCCAACCATGACCTTGCCAAACAAGTGTTCCTCGATTACGAGTTCTTGTATAAATCGTGACCTCAGCATTGCCATTTAGACTTCGTACTGTGCACTACAGCTGCACCTGTCTTGAAACACGATAATTATCATATCGCAATAATTTTGGTTACCGGTATCACGATATACTGGATTCTCGATATTTTTAAATAAGTCCGATATGATAAAATCGTCAATGATTTTATCACGATATACCGAAAAAAACCGGTATAATGCCCAACCCTAGGTTTTGTCCGACTGTGTTTGTCTTAAGAGTATTTTTTCAAAGTGTACAGGGCTAGTGTTTCGGATACATTGTAATAACAACTAAGAACAAAAGTATTGTCCACCAAAATATAACTAGAATATAGTTTTTTTTAATATAGATCTGTGAATATATCTATTCTCTCAAGTCTTTCCAACTTCAATGTCGAGTTTCATTATCTTCTGTTATTGAAATATATGCTGTGATTAATTAAACTCCCAAGAACAGTAGTAGTAGTAGTTCATCACAATAGATTTTTTTTTGTGAAAAGGTCTCTGATTGGACTAATGTCTGTTCACATGACAAAATGAGCCACTTAAAACAGGCCTTGTTACTTGCTACAACAGCTTCCTCCTTCAGATTGTTGATTTTGTTCACTGTTCAATCGTACACCCGCTTGTCTTTGTTGGGCTGCTCCCCCACTTTCATTTTTAGGTAATTTCTTGGCTGAAGGAGAAGAGAGAATCATAAAATAAGACATCAACATAAATTGCCCCATCTTTCTTTTCATGTGTATATTAAGAAAGGCATACCTCTCTACGGGAGTCATTATTTTATAGAGGTTCAATCAAAAAGGAGGTGAAATATTAAAGATACATTAGGCAACACAAATAAAATAAGTTGTTTCTCGGGCACCGCCCGCACGTAAAATTGGTTGCGCGTGCGGCCTATTTATTAGTCTTGATGAAAAATAAAAAATATGTAACGCCCGCCCGAACATCGTTAAGCAAGTCATAAAAAGAATATGCCGCATGTATCTACATGCCCCATACGTGAATATCCATTCAAATGTATTAAACTGATTTAGATGTAAACGCTCATTTACGGGTCTTTTTTTATTGATATCGAAAGAACCTCCATTTTTGTATCACATGATTTTAATTACCTCCCCTTGTGAACTAGAATTTGATTTGTGTTAAACACCGAAAGTCATTGACAACAATGCATTGTATTTCAATCATTCGATCTTAATCGGCTCATTATTGCCGGCTTCAGTCGGTCCTTGTTTGAAAAAATCCTACTTATAAAACAATGAATCGTAGAACAGGTTAATTATTATAACTTGTGGCTACGAATACGATACGATGATAGTCACCATACCTTAGTCAGAATCTGGGTCATTAGCACATTTAACGGTAGTTTTGATAATCCGGAAAATAATAATTGGATTACACATTTGATGGTTTTACTGACCAGTTGTTAGTTAAATTTAAATAGTCATTCGATATAAACCCCAGATAGAACACCGAATATCCTGAGAAACACACCGAATATCCTGAGAAACAGTCATTTCCCGAATCCCGATGACACGTGACATGCATTGGTTGGAATTAGGTCAATCATTATAAACCAGCGATACTAGATTTAGATCTAAGTGTCGTTTACCGTGATGATTATTTTTGATACACATGCTGACAGTGGCTTACTCTTTAAAATATTGTCGTTATTATGGACGGCTATTAATAGTCGTATGGAATTTTATTTTAAACCAATTTCAATTATAGTTGTCACCATTACCATTAGTAAGCTACATTACGTGAATTAAATATGGAAAATTATTTTCATTACAGTCAGTGTTCAGTGTTTGAGTAGACTTGATTTTTGGGTTTATGTTCTAAGTATGTATAATATATAACTGAAAGCAAAACTGTAGACAAGTAATGACTTTCTCATTAAAAAAAAAAAAAATACAAGGCCGCCCTCCCGCCCCAACAATTTTCAACAATAGCCAAATTTTATTTTGCACCATCCTCTAGCCAGAAATGAGGTAAAAAAAAAAAATAAACTGCCGTCCCCCCCTACAGTTTCAGCTGTCAGTTGCCCGAGAAACAAGACATTTATTTTGTGTAGCCTTATGGGAGATAAGATAAAGAGATGGCAGTTCTCGCTATAATAGTTAAAAACTAGATTGTGTAAAGGTAATTTGCTGAAAATTTCAGTCAAATTGATCCACTATGAGCCGAGAAAGAAGTTGGTGAAATTTTTGCATAGTCTCGGTCATCATTACTAAAATCATTTTATAAACAGCATAGTCTCGATTATCCACTTTTTCTGATTTAATTATCAACGGCCATTAGCGGCATATAGGAATCTAATCCAGCCAACATCGAAGGCTGGCCTTGACATCGAGAGTTTATTATGGTCTGAATAAGTTAATTAATGCCTAATTGATAATTTAGATAACATTTCAGGCCTAAAGAAAGACTTGTAATAAGCAGATTTTGCTCTTGCATAATGCATGTTTAAGTGACTAAGCATTATCTCCCTTTAATAATATGACTCAACTTTTAATTTCCATCAAAACCATAACCATGCTTTTTGAAAAGAGATTGCAATATATACATTCATTTGACAAGTCAACCCACTCAATACAATGCCAAAAAGATTTTTCCGAAAGCAACAAATGAGAGAGAGAGAGAGAGAGAAAGAGAGAAAGAGAGAGAGAGAAAAGGGATTTAAGGCCCATTCAACATAAACTAGGTAATTTCGGAACTAACATGGACCAATTTTATTTGAATAATTCAATTGCGCGAAAACACATAAGGTTTGACAGGCATCCCTACTCCTCGTCACTTTCAAGTTATGAACATTCCAGCATTCTAACCACACTGATATACCGAAATAAACAATATTAAGAATAACATACCTATAGCCAAAAATATATCATTGACATTCATCGCTGTTTTCGCTGACGTTTCCATAAAAAGCAAACTATTTTCTTCTGCATATGCTTGAGCTTCCTGTAAAAATAATATATTGTTGAATTTACTTAATACACCAAAGAAATGGGGCTTAACATCCTACACCAACAGAGCTTAATGACAAGGGTCATATGCCATGCAGTGAGCTATGAGGAAAATTTTGCCCCAACAGCGACACTACATGTATCGCTTCTTTGATGCGATGGTCCATGTGTACATGGCACCTCTGTTTTTCGTCCCATCCAAACAATTAGACACTGTTCCTTGCCCTCCATCCAGCATCCAAGGGATAACCACACAGTTAAATGCCAGGTTACTTTTCTCAGCTAACACTGGGATCAAACCCAAGATTTCCTGGTTATGAAGCCATCACCTTAGCAACTGACCCACCGCAGCTCCATCCTTTAATCTCTCTGTTATGCCGATATATGTATTTAAGGTGTTTCAATTATGATTAAAATAGGATATGTTGCAGATATATCTATCAACCAGTTATTTAGCTTATTTATGTAGATTCAGTTCCCGGTGACCGACCTAAAGAACATACCGGACATAGTTTCCAAATGTGGAAATATATATTGATTATATATCTTTTCCATTGGACAACTCTTTGCATTTAACCAATCAAATAATTAATAAATTGCTATCTCTGGGTTATCAGTAGTAAAACACAACAAGCGAAATATTGGGCAAACTCATTATCATTTCTAGAGAGGCAGGTTGTAGAATGTAGCATTTTTAAGATTTAGTTGCTCTTGTAAGGGTGAGCTGAAAGGGTTGAAAGATACAATGTACCAATATATATATATATTTCTTATTTTATTAGACTTGTGCTTATGTATCTGTGTTAGATATAAAATGTATTTTAGAAGAAAAGTGTATTATATTGAAGTCACATCGAGTTCCTGGAGAAGTCTATTTTTCAGTCCATTTCGAAACACAACCTGAAGCAAAGAATCTGTGGACATCATGAAGGTCATTGCAAGTAATTCTCTTTGGTACTATTTAGCAGACAGTGTAACACATGGCTGTGTGATTTAAGTTTTGTATTGAAAACACCATTAGTTTTAGTACTTACTTCATATTCTACCATTCGTTTATTAGCCAGATCAGCTTTATTCCCAGCTAGTGCTATAACTATATTGGGACTAGCTTGTCGCTGTAATTCTTTTACCCAGGTTTTGGCACGACCAAATGTGTCCTGAAAGATGAAAACAAGTCAAGAAGATCATGAGAATTACAACCATGGATGGAGGATTATCAGACTCCTTTAAAAAACCTTCCATAATCAATAGTCTCAGGAGAATGAGGGGTGATGACAATACAAGTTTATAACCATATTTCCATGTAGATGTATTAAAACAGAAAATAGGTAAATGGAAAGATAATTTCTGCAAAACGCAGAAATAAAACATACTAATGTTACAGTCTATACATGTAAATTAATCTAGAGAAAGAAAGAGAGAGAGAGAGAGAGAGAAATGAGGTTTAACGTCCACTCGACACAAACTAGGTCATTTCGGGACAAACATATGGTTTGTGCGTAGGGGTCTTTAGCAGTGGGGGGAAACCGGAGGACTGGAAGAAAACCCACAAGGATGGACAAGCGACCCTACTCCTTGTCACATACAACCTGGGAATCGAAACAACTGTAAATAAATCTGAGCAAATTTAGTCAAATATTTTAGACAAACAAACTTAACCGGAATATATGACCCGAGTTGGAAACCATGGTTGTGTCCTTTGTTGAGCAGGATGTTATTTGGCATTACAAATCTAAGCTTGACACAAAATTAACAAACAGGTCCTAAACAATGTTTTCTGTATGATTCAATGAACAATATTATAAGTGGGCATATAACATCCATTCCACATGAACTAACATATGGTAGAGTTTCTTTTCTTACTTCGCTTGCTTGTAAACCCACATGGTTGTGCAAACTTGGGATAGAAATCACCCATCCAGCACAATGACAGACCTTATCATGTCAGACCACACAACTACCCAACCCTGGTGGGCACATCAATATACATACTCCTCGCAGTGTTTCGTTTGATTAGAGCTAATAACACTTAACACTGCTGTAATGGAAGCAAATTTTTGTTCCAAATTATACCTGGTCAATAGTACGATTAACAACCAATAGCTAACTGCACAACAATATCATTATGCTTTAAAAATAGCTCCAAATTGGACCAAATATGTTTACATAACATTACGTCATGACTCACGATTTTATTATGCCCAATTAACCAATGCATAGCAGAATATTGCAGAAAAAATAATTGTGTGACAAACGAGGCTACCAACACAGATACAATGTAAACAATACTCCTTGAAGATGAACAATACTTTCATCATTTTTAATACCTTAAATCACTGTCAAAGTTCTAGGGAAGACCCCAGATTAAACGAAGGGCTGTCATGTTGCTGTACTTGGGATAGATTTGATTTTTCAACAGGAAGAATAGACACACTCCCTCAAAAGCTTAAGTATCAGAAGCCAATCCAGCAATGGCCAGAGAGGGATTTCTCGGGCCATTGCTTCGGGAATATGATCAGTATATGAATATGAGCTTTCAGTTAATAAGTATTATTACCTGATTAGTAATATCGTATACAACTATAGCAGCCTGGGCTCCTCTATAATACATAGGTGCTAGACTGTGATATCTCTCCTGACCAGCAGTGTCCCAGATTTCAAATTTCACTGTTGTGTCATCAAGACAAACTGTCTGTGTCAAAAATGCAGCTGGAATAAAATTAAATATCCATGAATATTCAAAATGCATAAATCAAAATCATCATTCAATAAGGGAAAAAAAAGAGAATGTTTTGTCGATTAAAACTCAACAGTGTTTAAAGTATCATTTATCTGGATGTAGGTACGGTACATGTAATACAAGATGTCATCCACACAGTATGTAATACAAGATGTCATCCACACAGTATGTAATACAAGATGTCATACATATGGTTGATTATTTGTCATTCTAAAACTATTGACATTATATTCTATTTCAGACAAGTTCACCTAGCTTGCCAAGTATTACAAAAAGATGCTTTGAACACACTTGGAGTGAAAGGTCAAAAGAGTGTCAACAACATTTACAAATGTCAATTTCAAGCCTCAACAATATTGTGTGCTGTTCTCCTGCATTAAGTGAGGGAGAAATAGGGTTTACCCATCACTCAACACAAATTAGGTCATTTCGGGACTAACCTATGGTACAGTCATATTTCATAAATTTTGTTCATAGGGGTCTTTAGCAGTTAGGGGAACCCTGAGAAAACCCACTCCTTGTCAAGTGCAAGTGTAGGATTGAAAATACACCACTTGATTCAGTAAGACCTTATGATCTAAAGCACACACAAAAAGACTATCCAACCCTTTTCTGTGATCCCTATAACAGTGCATATTATTATTAAACCCAAATCTGAACAGTTATCAAATGTGCTTACCTCCTATAGTAGATTCTTGATATTCATGAAATTGCCCTTTTACAAATCGTAAAACCAAACTTGACTTTCCTACAGCTGATTCACCCAATAAAACTAATTTGAACTGGCATATTTTTCCTTGTGTTGCCCCATTTGGTCGTTGAGCTCCGGCCCCTCTGTTAGCCATGGCTGGTATGGCTTTTGTGTGTTATGAAATGTCAATTAGACCACAATCAATACCTGAAAAAAAAAAGAAAACCTGTCAGAATCATTTCATCCCCAATTTCATTTTTGATTACTAAAATATAGAAATGGTAGTCTGCAGCAAATTTAAGTTATTTCCTTTTGTTTCAAGATATGTGTAAAAGTTCAAGATATAATCTGATATACATTTAAGGGACAAAAAACAGAGATTTTTTTTTTTCTTAACAAAATGAAATGATACTGCCTTGGGCTTAGAAGTAAAGAGTTCACACAAACAAATCAGATTACAGCTTGTTTACATTCGCAACCACAACACAAAGGGCAAATATTTTACACCCTGAAGGTCCCATCCAACTAGACAATATTAGGGCTGGTAGAAAATAGTGATATTTCAGATAATCGTTGGTAAAGAGTTTTGAAAATTGATACAGATTTAAAATATCGATAATCGCACAATTATAGGCAGTCACTTGTGAAAAGAAATCCATAAAAGATATCTTTATAACAGTATTCTTTGCCATGCACGATTGGGGCTAGCTCGGTAACTGTAATTATACAAGTTTAGTTTTTCACATGAGATGCCAGTGTCACAGAGCAAAAGTACCAGCACTAATAACTGTCGGCTGCTTATGATGAGATCAAAAAAATAATCAATACATAATGTATAGTGGAATATTAAAATTATATAGATCTCATAGTGACCATGAATTAAGCCACTATGTAACATTTTGTGTGCATCAGAAATCACTGAGAGAAATAAATTGTTGATGTGATCCAGATTCTATGCGCATCATAAATTACTGCAGAAAAAAATTGTTGCTGTGAAACTGATTTTGTGCGCATCAGAAATGACTACAAGAAATAAATTGTTGCTGTGAACCGGATGTGGAATCTGTTTCAAATTGAAATAACTACATTTTAGTCATATATCATTGTTCTGGTCATACCGGTAAGCAGTAAAGATATGTTAAGAGGAGACCGTTCTGTCTTCCAAATGAAGTCGATTGAGTTTTGACATCTTGGTTTTGGTATGGAATACTATTATTTTATTGTCAATCAATGAAATAAATTCTACATGTATACATAATATTACACCATAAACTCACATATAATATTTTATTCATATACAAATTACAAATGTATCAATGTTTTCAAAACAAATTGTAAGTAAAAATAATTACACATGTATCAATGTTTTTAAAACAAATTTTAAGTAAAAATAATTTGCCAATATTATAGATTCGCAGAATGTCGGCGATTATCGATACTTGAAAGCAATATCGACTGCCATCCCTATACAAAATAATTGAACCTATAGTCCCCAGTAACAATAGATGAATTGTATTTTAAATCTAATATATAATAATGTACAGCAGTCCCTTAATGGACCTGAAATGTTCCCCATGTGATACTCATCTGGTTGTTCTTGAGGGGCAATGCTCTTCGAAAAACCAAAAGTCTCTGCTGATTAAATAACGATGGACACGAAACTTGGCATGCTTACTTGCATTACAGAAGTGCAAACCCTGGTTTATAGTACTGGTAAATTAAAAAGTAAATTGTGACACTATTATTATTATCACTAAGTCTGAACACACATGATGCAAGGCAACTGTCACAGACTTTGTCAAGTATTTTCAAGTCAGAAAATCATGGCAATGTCGCCTTAAATTTAACAGTTGCTGACTGCAAATCTACATGTAGGTGAAAATAATACCCTGCAGTTGGTGTTTTTGGTTCAATGCATTTGTTCTGTACATGTACTGTAGATACAGAAGCCTAGGATAAAGGTTTTAAATTTTACAAAGACTAAAATTATAATCAGTAACATAAACTTGCATCTCAGATGACTCCTTTACATATACAAGTCTTTGTATAAAAGAATCATGGTTATTTCTAAATGTCTGTTGCACTGTCGGCATCTACGGGTGTACACCATTCACAATACATGCACAATGTATGTAAAACAAATAAAAAAAAAAAAGAGATACGGTGTCTGTTGACGAAATCATAAATTTTATGAACAAATTCTAAGTTCAAGATACTTTCCCACAAAAGTATTTATCGGGTGGTTAACACTGGTTATTTCCCAAAGAAAAGTATGGAAAGTTGAAACACCAGATCTTACTAGGTAAAAACTGAATTCCTAAAAATACACCCATCGAGCGCGCACAGGACAAAAATGAGAGGGTGTCACTAATTGGCAGCCTGACGATTCAGGACTAACTGTCTGCTCGAGTGACGTCAAAGGTTGCATGCGAAGATTGTCTGATCACTCAGCGTTAGGGAGCGTTTGATATGTTGGATAAACTTGATGGTGAGCAGACTAGGAAAAAAAGAAAGAGACTTAAAGATACATTATGGGAGATAAGATAAAGAGCTGGCACTTCTCACTATAATAGTTGAACTCTAGTTATTGTAAAGGGAATTTGCTGAAATTGATCCACTCTGAATCCAGATTTCAGCGATTGAATTTTCGGCCTAGCCTCGATCATCATTACTAAAGTTGGTAAGATAAAAATCATAATCTCGATTATCCATTTCATGATTAAATCATGAATGAAAGTTGAGCAGCAAAAGGGATCCTAATCCAGTAAATAACGCAAACTACTGTAGCCTTGACATTGGTCTGGATAAGTTAATTAATGTCTAATTAATAATTTAGATAACATTTCAGGCCTAAAGAAAATCCTGCAATAGGCAGATTTAGCTCTTGCATAATGCATGTTTAATCGTCTTTTATATGCCATGAATTCTCCTCTGGTTTCGCACCTGTTGCTAGGTACCGTGACAGCCAAGTCGTGTGACACAAACAAGACTACTTTTAATAAATTGGTATAGCTTGGGGTATTTCCTCGCAAATACATTTTGAGAAGCATTTGAACTGAAGCAAAATTTTGATAGATTAACTAGTTTGAATATGTTTTTAGTCCAAATATATCATCAAATCACCCAGTTTGTATGTGGGAAGGTATCTCTAATCTGAAAATTTCAAGATCACTGAACTTAGTTACATGTACCCCAGGGTGCCTAGAGGTTTCATTAACACGTAATCTGTAGGGTCTTCACACAGTTTTAGTTGTATGCAAGCTCCTACTGTATTTTTGGCACATCAAATACTCACAAGCTGAAAGGCTTCAGTCAGTTAATTTTAAGTGCATGCTGTCAAAGCATATTCCATGCGCCATCATTGAACAACAATACATGAAACATGCAACGGCTGTCCAGTAAAAACATGTTTATCCACAGTCACATTTACCAAGACCTGCTAGATCAAAACTTGACACCCATGTTGGGGTATGTTGACCTAGATATGTATATATTTGACCATCTATTCTCAGAAACTAGATGGAGCCATGGTAGCTAAGTGGTTATGACGCTGGCTCACTGGCTTGGAGGTCACATGTTCGATCCCTGCATTGGCCAAGAAAATTAAGCCGGATGTGATGAAAATCCAAGGTGTGCAAGTAAAAGATCCCTAGGCAGTTGGAATTCGATATATTTTTGTATGAGTAGACCATAGTGCTGTTGCCCACACAAAATTTCATTTCAGAAACAAGATCAAGATTTAAGTATGGCACAGACCTTCATTTAATAACACCAGCATTTTGATATTACATGTAACACCTTCCCGACCACCATCATAGAGATGACAGTGCCCCCCCCCCCCCCCCCAAATCCCCTTTATGTACCAGAATTTTATTATATAAACATAATAAAACAAGATCAACACAGCATTATTTAAGTATGGTACGAAACTTCATTCGATAACAACCAGGATTTTGATATTACACATAATATGTAATCTCTTCCCTACCACAATCATAGAGAGGCAATGCCAAACCTCCCCCACCCCCCTTAATGTAGGCCTATCTGGATTTTATTATTTAAACATAAAAAAACTGGATTATGTTTTATATCTGTGAAAAAAAAAGCACCGTTCATTCGATGGTAAAATATTCAAAAATCTGTACAGGCTTTCTATTGTCTGACAAGACTCCACTGGTGTCAGTGCTCAATATGTAAGCTTACACTTCTTTCACAAGTTCCAAGCAGGCTTTTAGTACACATGTAATTACACTAGCTGCCTACATGTATGTCAGCTTTTTTTACAATTATGCATTTCTTAAGAAAATAAAAAAGTAATAACTGTAACACAAATCTCAACCCACAGAAATCTTATAAATCTTTTCTCCTACTGGGGTCTGATCAAATCTACATATCGTACTACAAATAAAGATCAATAAATCATCCTGGTTAAAAAAAAAAAAATAAATAACATGCCAGACCTACCATAAATTACAATTTAAGACTTCTGAAAAGAGGTGATCTTGATAAAAAATTCTCAGAATATGACCTCTGTCTCTATCACAATATAACCGATTCACCAACTAATACAATGTACTAAAAATGGAAGTGTCATCCTGACTGTCAAATTTCACTACGTCTCTCTAGTCAGTCAAGTATGTCGCTTCAAAAAAATGCGCCCTGAGCCCGTTACCAATTCCCAGCGACTGCCAACGAAGATATGTAATACCAATTAACGAAAAGATGAGATTATACTACTTCTTAAAGCAAATCACAAGATCAAAAGGGTGTTATTTTGGATTTTTTTACGATGTAAACAAGGAAAGGTGACAAAACCGTCAGCCATTTTGTCCATCAATTCCGCAAGAAAAATCATAAAATTGATTCTAATTTGGGCAAAATATCTACAAAACCCACATTATTTTTACTTACCAACGAAAGAATAGACCCTAAGCGTTGGATTAACCACGATATCAAAAGAGAAAACAATATTGTTATCAGTAAAACAACAGAAAAATTCGCAGAACCACCCTCTTTCTTCTGGTAGCTAATTTATGCACTAAGAGGATGTAGTTACTCGTCAAAAATAGTTCCTTATTTCTGTAAATATTGTCGAAGAATCATGCACTACACTAGTTGCAACTTTTGTCTGTACATATAACCACTATGTTTAACATGTGCATAAATCATGGATTTGTCTTAGGATTTATTATTTGTGTATGCGTATGGATACCAAATCGTCCGACAGTTATGATAGTGCGTGCGCTCAAGGTGACGTCATCGTAGATTTATTAATACATGCAGTAGTAAGTCTACATAGACTACTGGGTCATGGGCCAGACACATAATGATGAATTACTTTGATAAGTCATAATTACAAATAAAAATCCTTTTTTAAAAAGCTTGTATACTCTAATACTCAGACCTGCTGGGTAAATAAATTTATTTATTTATTTATATATTTACAGAAATTAAAACTGTTAATTACCGGTGATCCACTCATTGCGAGTTCAGTTAATAGGACAATCCAGTATATATATAATTATATAATAAATAATTTCAACAAATTTATTCAGATTTTCTTGTGTTCACCCCCTTTAGGTGCAGATCTGTTACAGAATTTTGTGGGGAAATGAATGAAAAAAAAAAGAAGTGTAATCTAATTATAAAACAGAAGGAATGAAAACACATTTTATATAATTTTTAAATGAAAATTGAAATGTCCGTTCCCCATATTTACTGTTGTATGACTAGATTTCTATGACATATCGGAAGTGATAAATCAATATTTAAAACAATTACCATTAGAAACATTGTCATCTTCCAAGCGGTTGGAATTTCTCCTTGTCGATCACTTCGCCAAACATCAAAATGGCCAATTCAGACATGTCGATCGGATTAAAGAATGAAAATGCCTACCTTTGGTTGAGATGTGTGTTCTACATTTTCTTGTTACGATATGCAGAAGACGTTTTTTTTTCTCATTCGACGGTCGTGCCGTCATTAGCCCGGGTGGAGTAGAATTATAGTAGGGCGTTAAACCCCATTTCATTCCATTTTTCATTCGATGGAATTCTATTTTTATTATGATTCAAAGCAGGATTAATAATGCATCATGTCAGCGAGTTGAGTAAGTACACTATCTCAAGTAATGTATCCGTAATGATATGAAATAAGGTTTAATATGTCCCACTTTTCTGCAGCAACTGAGCTATCAAGACGGGCGCATGTATTGTGCTTTTAGGGATATTTTGACCGGAAAGCGGCGCTATCGCCCACTGTTATCACGAATTCCAACATCGTCTAGTCGTTTGGATGGGACGGACAAAAATCTATGTACATGTACAACAGAACGCTATACTAGCGTATGTCCGTCTTCATTGACCTGTAGGGGGTTGGATGGCTGAATGGTTAGCGTGCGCGCGCTGTATCAGAAAGTCTGTCAGAGTCGACTGGCGTGGTTTCGAATCCCCGGTTGTACGTGACAAGGAGTAGGGTTGCCTGGCCAACCTCGTGGGTTTTCTCCGGGTCCTCCGGTTTCCTCCCACTGCTAAAGACCCCTATGCCCAAGCGAATTATTGAAATAAAATTAAACCATGTTTATAGTCCCGAAATGACCTAGTTGTGTCGCGTGGACGTTAAACCCCATTTCTCTCTCTCTCTCTCTCTCTCTCATTGACCTGTTTCATGCAGAGCAGTGGACTAGACCTTAAACCATATTTAATTTCATTTCCTTTTAACTAAAATAAAAGCCAGACTATCTTTATAAAAATTATCCACCAAAGGCGATCTCCTATTGTCTCGTACATACGGCGTCATACGATTATTAATTTTACCAAAAAGACGTACAATGTCACTGCTCGTATGCCTATTTTTCACGTGAACAGTCCTTCTTCCTTGTCTAACCTGTGAATCATAGTCCAAGCGCTAATTATGAACTGAAATTCAGAAACAAATTAAAAAAATATGAAGTCGAAAGCATATATAATCCGCAGTAATTATTTTCAATAGCAGTTAACAAGTCTAATCTCCAATTATTAGAACTAAAACCATTTCAGCTGCTAAAAACTTTTAATAGCAATTATGTTTCATTATATACCTGCTATGTGCTTGTCTTGTTTTTTTGTTTTTTTGGGTTTTGTTTTCTTTAGTTTTTCTTTTAAAGGGATATCAAATTTTAACTAAGATAAAATCCAAATTTTAGTAATTTGATTGGATAATATTAGATTGATTATAGTGCTTAGCCAATCTAAATTGAAGTATCTACTAAAATTGGATTTTATGTTTGGTTAAGATTTCGAGAAACAGGGCCCTGGTTTTAATAGTCAATATTTTTTGATTAGTGCTAATATTAAATGATAAGGCCAGCTCAATTTTTCGTCATTACTCACGAGATGTAAAGGGCTAGCCCTAATCCCTCTACCTAACCCTGGACTTAGCCCCAATGCTTTCCCTAGCCCTAGCCTACAGTCTCGCCAACAATCGCGTGCTCTAACCCTATTTACATCTCAGCGACCTTGACAAAAATTGAGCTGGCCTTAACAAATATATTTAGCCGTATTTTTTGTCTTGTTGTGGCAAATGCGCATAGGCTTAATCTCGATCTATTAGTAATCTATAAGCTCTATTAATGGGCATGCGTAAAAGAAGGCGTCATTTTGGCGAAGATGCAAGTTGGGAACGTAAAACCGGAAATGAACAACGACCTTCACCCTTATGTGTTGCTAACCTAAACAATAGAACCAGCATCAAACCATAATTTGCAAGGTAGCCTAAGTCGAAATGCCAGAGGCAGGCAGAATATTCAGCACTCTATGTTAATTATTTCGATGTGGAGTGCTTTCAAGGACTAAATTTGTGTATAGAGGTGTGTTTTTTTTTCTTACAGATCCTCTTCTGAGCGCTCATTGCATTGGCTACATTACTACAAAACTCAGATCCATGACCATATCATCGGTTTCGCTTGTTTTATTTAGGCTGATCCAGATCAGGTTGGATTTGAAGTCATAGAGAAGTTCTTGGTTTTTCAAATATTTTCAAATGTTTTAGATTTTTTTGCCATTATTACACTTTCAGGTAAATGTTCCATAGTTTTGTTACTCTTACTCTGTTTGTGAAAAGTTTTTCCAGGTGATATTTGTTACCGTAATTGTCATTTGATTTCTTAATAGAGTTTTTTGCTATGTTCTCTTGTTTTAGTCGTATTTGTATCTAGGTGTTGTTGACATAAATGTGGCAGACTATTATCATAGATTCCTGATGTTTTTTTATAGGTCTTGATCATGTCACCCGACTTCGTCTACATGTTGATCTACATACCGTTTTCTTCTCCCCTATTCCATTTCAATTTGAATTTTTTATTGTTTCTCGGGAAAGTTAGAATTTTATAATACTTTAACTTGATAATAATAAATCTAATTTCTAAATCAAATACTCAATTATTAATAGATGTAACTTTTAAGTCACAAGTGGCTAAACATATCTGCAAGTGCAAACTCCTAATAAAACTAAAAGTTAAAAGCAAGTATTAAGTAAGTAAATGAAAATCTGTTGAATCTTACAGATTTAATGTACAATATTGTTACCTCTTTGATACAAGTTTAATATAAATTGTTGATTTAAATTTAACTTCCCGCATACAAACTGAATGATTTGATGATAATTTGGACTAAAAACATATTTAATTAAACTAATTAATCTATCAAAATTTTGCTTCAAAACCTTCAAAATCATTGTTTTCGCGAGGGAATACCCCTGCTACAAAAAATCTCTTAAAAGAAGTCATTTTGTCACATGATTTGGCTGACATGCTGCCTAGCAACGGGTGCGAAGCCAGAGGAGAATTCATTGCATATACAAGATGTTGTTGTCTTTAATTGCTGTCCATTTATCATAAATATCAAAGCCTAATTAAATTCTCGAACCATCCACTGCCCATGTCTTTTTTCTGTGGTTTTTATCTCAGAAACTGTCATACGTTTAAGCTCACCATCAAGTTTATCAATATTATACATCAAGTGTTCACTTTCGCTGAAAGATCAGACGGTTTTCGTGTGCGTCCTTTGAATCACGCGAATAGGCATCAATAATCATTGGGTTGCCGGTTAGGGGAACCCTTACATTTTTGTCCTGTATGCACTCCATAGGTGTTTTTCAGGGAATCCAGTATTTTTCTAGTAAGATTGGAAAGTATCTTTAACTGGATTCTGTTATTTCCATTTGTTTAATTTATTTTCTTAAAAGTACAAGAAAGTGTTGTTATGTGTATATGATCATGACCATCTTCAGTTTCACTGTCAACACTTTTACTAGCCAAATTTGAAATTCAATTTGTAAACAATCCGTCTTCAGCTTAATCTTTTCAAAATAAAAATTTAATCGCATAGAGCTTGCTCCATCACTAATCAAAATAATGCATAGTTTGGCTTCTTTAAAGAAGTATTAGCCTACTTAAGAGATAAATCTTCTTATTGGAGTTCTTTTTTCTGGCTTCAGATATAAATTGACCGAGAACATTTAGTTTTAGACTACCTGTTTTGTTTTTATGCATTTCACTGATGTGGTTACTTGTATAGTTAATTTTTACTTCAATATGCTTACATTCATATTTCTTGTAACATAGCAGATCATGACTCATGCTGGCATTACACAATGGTTTCTCTGGGTTATAATTATATTCCTGATTGTTTTCAAATTTGAGTGAAGTCTGTATCACTACAGACATGGGACTGTACAGCACAGTGGACGGTTATGGCCAGCCCCCGGATCCATTCACTTAATTTGAATTGCTCGTTTGTTTGTGATTTCTGCGTATTGTGTCTTGTCCGTATATTTATTTTTTTTGTGTATATTATGTGTGGTGCAGTCCAGCTGCACTTGTTATTAATATTAGACAGTTATTTATTCACATGGCAAGTTCATAATCAACACACAAGACCATTGGATGACTAGGAATTGAACGGATTAGAGCACCCACACCATTTAATAATATAATGTTAAATTGGATAATCAGGACTTTGTTTATTTTATATTGGAGCAATGATACTTGACAATTGAGGCTATCTTGTTATAACTTCAAATGCTCATAACTTTGATCAGAATGAAGTAATTTGAATGAAATTTTCAATGATGATATTCATTTTTTATTTCCTGTATCTGTTTTTAAACTATTATAGCAAGAATGGGCAGCTATTTGTCTAAATCTTACATAATGCATCTTTAATTAAGCAAAGTATACTTTTCTTACAACATAATTTTGTTTATTGTTCCAGCAAGAATCTTTCGTAAACCAAGTGTTACACTATATACAAAAGTGTGGTAATTAAGGTGAAATACATTTTGATCTGAAAGATGACATCTTTAGTTCGTTTTCCTCAGATCAACACACAAAGTGTCTATTCTAGTAAAATCAAAGACTGGACTCCACAACTTAGAGCTGTAAGTTTAAATTCATATTTATCTCCCTTTATCTCACTATTTCAGAGATAATATTATATATCAATGATGATGTCCTGAACGAAGAATCCATGTGACCATATAACAATTTACCCCCATTTAAAAATACCCAAAATGAATTTCAAATGTTATAGTTCAACATTGGATTTGTTAAAATAAAAGCATCACCTGTAGATTACCGGTATGTTGATTGAATAAATATGGAGTTTATCAAAATGGATATAAAATTTATTTTATATTTTCTGCTCCCCAAATAATTCAACCATTGAGCCATGACAATTTTGATCAAGAAAATGTCTGATATTATGAGAGACCAGATTGGAAACTGAAAATAATCACTTTTAATATTTATACTGTAATGTTGAAAATGAATCCGTAGAGTGTGGTTATTGATTAATCTACAGTTTATTGATAATAATACGTCTAATTTGTTAATTAGTTAATAATTGAAAGTCAATACATATTATTCGTTGTTTATTTATAAACAATACCGGTAATTAATAATTGATACTTAGTACATATGATCAGTTAATTAGTTGTATACATGTAATTAGTTATTGATTAATCTACAGCTTATTGATTTAATGAATAATATATATCTAATTTGTTAATTAGTTAATAAGTAATAACAAAAAGTCAATACATGCTATTCGTTGTTTATTTATAAACAATTATTAATAATTGAAACCTCGTACATATTAGTTAATTGGTTGTATATTTATAATTGAAAGTCAATACATGTAATTAGTTATTGATGATTATTGATTGATAATCATATTTCTTTAACAACTAGAATCTATCAATAAATATCATCAATTGTTTTTTTATTTTTGTCAAGGCCGGTAAATTAACTGCCACTGGTGACACAACTGAATTATGTATGAAACCAACCAATAAAAGGGTGAGGATATATTTATTTTTTTACCTAATTACTTAAACTATGAAATGAAATGGGGTATAATGTCCTACTTTTCTGCACCAATTGGGCTTATGAAGATGGGAATATGCCATGAAGTGTACTTTTAGGGAAATTGGCCTGGACAGCAGCACTTTATGTCTTCGTTAGCCTATGTTGAACCCCATTTCATTTCATTTTCTCTTTCATGAAAAGATTTTGTTTTGAACATATTGCTAGCCAAATCAAGACTACATACTTGGTGTGAATTTTGTTTAAATATTGGATTTAGATTGCTTAGTTTTTAATTGTTTAAGAAATTGAACTTTTATATTATTTTACAGCCTGAGAGTCCTGATGTTGTTCGTCGATTTAGAGCATCTCTTCAACCTGAAGCTGGACGCAAAAGAATATTTTATGGAAAGGCTGGTGACCCCCACTTACAATGGGCAGCCAACATGGCTCATGGGGTCAGCACTCAATCTTCCGAGACCTCTGCAATTTTAGTAAATCCGAAACCTAAAACACTCTATAGACAAAGGCTGGAAGATCGGAAAGAGAATCTATATGCCAGTCATATCTGTGCTCCATTAGGAAAGTCACATGATCAGTCGCCAGGGTTACCAGTACCACACACCCTTTATCCCGATTATTTCACTTTTGGAATTGCAAATGAAATAGGTATAGTATGTATTCTATCAAATTCTGTGGTCTAGCCCAAATTCGTGGATTTTCACTGCTGGCCACTGGAGGTTTTCTTATAAAGAGTAGGGTCGCTTGCCTAACCTCATGGGTTTTCTCTGGGTCCTTCGGTTTCGTTCCACTGCTTAGGACCCATTGTAAATAAGCAGCGCTGATGTTATATACGTCCGGCTTTATGGACTATACTAAGTAAAGACCTCTTCATGACACCATACCTATCATACAATGCAGCAACTAGTTCTTATTCATATACAGGGGTGTTGGATGGCCGAATGGTTAGCATGTGGGCGCTGTATCATAAGGACTGTCATTGAGTCAACTGGCAGGGTTTTGATTCCCCGGTTGTATGTGACAAGGAGTAGGGTCACCTGTTCAACCTCATGTGTTTTCTCCGGGTCCTCCGGTTTCCTTCAACTACTACAGACCCCTACTCGCAAGTGAATTATTGAAATAAAATTGAACCATGTGTTTGTCCCAAAATGACCTAGTTTGTGTCGAGTGGACGTTAAACCACATTTCTCACTCTCTTATTTCATATACATATCTATATTTATTTTTATGTTGTAACCTTTACTTACAGAATAAGTAAATAAATAGAATACGCACGAGCAAATTATTGAAATAAATTAGAATCATATGTTTGTCCCAAAATAACCTAGTGTGTGTCAATTGGACACTGAACCCTATCTCTCTCACTCTGTCAATGATCAGACCACTGGTTATACTGCATGTACCATGTTCTTTTTATTTTGGGGGGTTGGGTGGCTGAATGGTTAGCACGTGCACATTGTATCATAAGTTTTGTAATTGAGTTAAGTGGCGTGACAAGGAGTAGGGTCGCATGCCCAACCTCGTTATTTTCTCTGGGTCCTCCGGTTTCCTCCTAGTCCTACTGCTAAAAACCCATACTTGCAACGATTTATTGAAATAAAATTGAACCATGTTAGTCCCGAAATAACCTGGTTTATGTAGAGTAGACACTGAACCCTCTCTCTCTCTCTCTCTCTCTCTCTCTCTCTTTCTCTCTCTGTCAATGATCAGACCATTTGTTATACAGCATGTTAAAATTCTTGTTCTCTTTATTTTAGATATCGGTGCTGGTGGTCTCATTAATCCTGATAAAAATTATCAACAAGTAGAAGATGAATCGGCCATTGGTCATAAACTTTACGTCAAGACACACATGGATTACGATGTTGGGGAGCGCATCAATAGAAGCTATACATGTCCAAATTTTAACGCCAATAAAATATACGGTATCCCTACGCCTCATTGTGATAATGGAAGAGAAGTTCGGCAAACATTAAAATGGCTGCAACAAGATGATAAAATGTCTAAGATCGTTTCGGAAAGAGTTGACAATTTTCGCGAGAGGACTCAACCACAGCTTGGAAAGGTTCATGATCCGTAAGTGATATTAAACCTTTTAAACTCTAAACCTGATGTCGAAATACCATAGTTAGTATTGAAAACTACGTTCTTTAACGGAATCCAACATCGATAACTTGAATATAGAGCTCTAAACACCACAAACAAACTTGTTAATATTGACGTCTCACTCTTTAATTTAGCAATGGAATTAGAGAAAGAAAAGGATTATCTTCATCAGACAAAATGAATTGTGGATGTCGAAGCCTATTTCTATACCTCTCTTTTTCATGTTATCAAGACTGTGGTCTTGAAATTCAAATACACCTTAATAGGAACCCAGGTGTGAAATTAAGCCTAAAAACAACAGAACCCCAATCCCACCTCTAGCCCCTTTCTAGATATCACATAGACACACAAAGTATTAGTCAATTTTTGCATTTTGTAATTTTTCTAACATTTGTCTATTTAAATTGAAATCCAGTATTGCATGTTATCATAGTCTAAATCAGCGTTTCACATTAACATTTTCCCAATCACAATTTTTAGCATTATCTTAATTTTTATAATTATCCCAATTTTTAGCATTATCTTAATTTTTTAGCATTATCTTAATTTTTTAGCATTATTCCAGTTTTAACATTATCTTAATTTTTTAGCATTATCCCAGTTTTTAACACCTTATTTTTTTTTAGTTTTATCCCAATTTTTAACATCTTAATTTTTAATGTCATCTCAATTTTTAACATTATGTCAGTTATTATAATATGCATGTTTTTATTTATTTATTAATTTACGGTTTAAGTCATTGAAATTTTATTCTTGTGGCGTGTAAATTAACTGACAGGAATATCTCTTCTCATTGCCAGTCAGTTAAAATTGGCAAATATAACTGAAATAAGAACCCTGCCCTGTATGACTATAAAGTAATATTGTTTCAATCCAAACATATGTTTACATTTCAGAATAAAAGATACATTAAAGGTACCAAGTGATCATACATTTGGTGTTTTATTGAAGGCAGATGAATACGGAGCTGGTGATTTATTACATGATCGTTTACCAGGATCGTATTTACGTGGGAAAGATCAGCAGAGAGGTATATTAGCTGCTGCTCGTCAACATTTAAAGAAAGCTAATTATCATCATTTCCCCGATTTACTGGCTGCTTTTAGATTTTATGATAAGGTGAATATGTATTTTATGATACAGTAATTTTGTATTTTGTTACAAGAATGGTGGGGGGGGGGGCACCTGTGAGGCACAGAAAGTGTGTCTAGTCATTTGGGTGAGATGCAAAAACCAGTCGGACGTACATCATGCAAAAGTGCCCCTTGAGGAATTTGATGAATAATAAGTGCAAATGTAGTGGTCCAGGCAAAGTTAACCTACACATTGTACACGTAACCATAGTAACGGACCATAATTTTTATGATGACAAGACATTAAACCTTATTCTATTCCAAGATATCTAGCTTTGTTTTATCATATATTGTATAATTAAATATCCATTAGTTTAAAACAGTTGTTCTTTTTAAAATTACATTACCTTCACATCTCGGGTGAAAAGTTTCAACAGTCTTTTACTTTGATTTAATCTGTTTTATTTACTAAAATATATATGAAGCTACTCCTTTAAAACTTGATATCTATATATGACATTTAATATGTGACAAAAATCAGATATATATATTCTTAACTTATTTGGTAAAATTTGGATTTGGTACAAAGTTATGATTTTGCTTAATATTGTTATTTGGTACAATATTGTTATTTGGTACAATATTGTTATTTGGTACAATATTGTTATTTGGTACAATATTGTTAGTTGATACAAAATTGTTAGTTGATACAAAATTGTTATTTGATACAAAATTGTTATTTGGTACAAAATTGATATTTGGTACAAAATTGTTATTTGGTACAATATTGTTATTTGATATAGTATAATTATTAGTTGGTACAATATGTGTTATTTGGTACAAAGTTATGATTTTGCTTAATATTGTTATTTGATACAATATTATTTGATACAATATTGTTATTTGATACAATATTGTTACTTCATACCATATTGGTATTTGATATTTTGATACAATATTGTTATTTGCTATAGTGTTAGTTGGTACAATACATGTTATTTAGTACAAAAGTGTTATTTAGTACAAAAGTATTATTTTGTACTACATTGTTACTTTTGTACTACATTGTTATTTTATTTCTTTTGTAGGATAACTGTGGAAAAATAAGTATATCTGGATTAAGAGACGTTTGTGTTGAATTTAATCTGCCACTTGCACCTGAAATATTAGAACAAGTTTTTGATTATTGTGATGTGAACAGGGATGGCCTTATTGACTACATAGAATTTGCTAATTTCTTAAATTGGAAAGACAAAATGGATCTTGGTATTCCATATAGTGAAGGTAATTATACCCCCACATTTACAATGTAGTGTAAAATCAGAACAAGTTTGTCTCCTTCAGGAACAGCCTTGTTGTTTCTAGGCAGTTTTATCAAGTTGGGATCATGAACAACTGATTCCAGAGATAAACGAACTGTGCCCAAGAAGAGAAGAAAGGAGAAACCAACGCAAACATCAATTAAGACCCTGTATGCATCCTCGGTATCCACTCGGCTAACCCTTTGGTTTATGCATGGGGAAGACACACATTCAAATTATCTGGCCTTGATGACTGCTATTTTTATCGACCAATCAAAATTATTGTTAAATTCAAAAGAAATAATGTGAAGGGAAGTAACTCTCATCATGTTGCAACAAACACACGGCCATATTGTTGTGAACGTAAGCAGGCTAAGATTCGTTTGTAAACTGTTTTTTGATTGCTTCGTAGAATCAAGCTACGATCAAGGGCAGATAGTTTGGATACATGAATACCCCATGGATGAACCCAGGGTATAGTGCACTAGAACGGAATGAGACCACTGCGGATACTGAGGATGACCCACAGGGTAAAATATATACAAATTAAAATTGTAGTCTAATTTGAATTACTAATACTCCAAATGCTTTTATATTACAGATTTACCCTCACAAAGTAGTGATTTTGTCCAGAAGTCACCTCAAAGTTCTGATAGTACAGCCAGACGGTTAAAGAAACAAATAGATACAGCTGTTGGCAACCATAAAACCAGTGCTGGCATGATCAATGCTGTAGTAGGTGGAGTATCTTCAAGAGGTGAGACCAAAAACAATTTATAAAAGGGCATATAACTCTATACTTTTAAACTTTAATATAGACTAATATGTACAACATTCTTATGCTTACCCAGTAGCTTTTGAGAAGGCAATGGACATTATTTAAATGCTCTATGCTGTACTCACAGGAGTAGAGCCAGGATGTTCGTAGATGGATATAGGCTGATATGTGACATTAAGGGATAATCGGTGATAATGGCTCATTTGCTCATCTTAATTTTAAGTAGTATTTCCTTTTATTCGTTGGGAATAATCATTGTTGCGTTAGAGCCACAGTGACTCATTGAGTAAGGCACTGGTTCACTAACCTTAACCTTGAGGTCTCAGATTTGATCCTGGTGTCGGCTGAGAAAATTCCTGATGGGATTTTCCAGCATGGTTTCCTCTTGTCAGTGGTGCAGGACAGATAGCCTGGCAAGGGACAGCCACAGTGTTAAGTCGTTCAGATGGGACAAAAAACTGAGGTCCTGTGTCGATATTGGGCTGCACGTAAAAATAACCCTTGACAGAATTTTCCTTGTAGAACACACTGCTTGGTGTCTGTTTTCATTAGCCCAGACAGGGCAGAAAAGTAGGACATCAAACCCTATTTTATTTCTTTTGTGCCTTATTAAATTGGAAGCTGTTTTTAGATTTCAGGACTTATGGTGTACCCACCATCCGAATTGATTTAGCAGCACCCAGAATCAAACGCATTGATGATCGCAAAAATTATGGTGATGAATCCGACTCCTACGGTCTGCTGAATCCTTCAATATACAGTCAAAAAGGTGTTTACGAAAAAGATTTTCTGATACCCAGATCCTTTGAAGAGGTAAGCAAAAAATATATATAAAATGATTTTAATGATAGAATTAAGATAAATTAATGACTTTTTGTTTGTTTTTTGCTCCAACTGGGCTAAAGAAGACGGACATGCAGTGTGCTATGAGGGAAGTTTTGCCCAACAGTGGTGATACGGCCTACTCTTATATGGAATTCCAACTGCCAAGGTTCTTTGTATGTGCACACCAATGTGAACACAGAACCGCATTTTTTCGTCCCATCTGAATGACTGCATTTACCCCCCCCCCTTATTTTTATTAACAATATTTTATTCTCAGAATTGAGGAACAGACTAGGCCTATATTACCTTTCAATGTCACTTACAAGGCCTTCCATCCTACATCAATGAAAAGGGGGAATCACGCCTGATAATCCAGATGCATGTTCTTGGCCAATACCAGGATCGAACATGGGACCTCCAGGTTAGCAAGCCAGTGTCTTAATCACTGAGCCACTATGGCCCCCACAGATTGTAATATACATGTATATAGTCCTCACCTGTGTCCATTGATCCATCTGATCACATTAGTCCGGGTGGTGAAGAAAAGAAAACATCTCATTTCTTTGAAAGAATATTACAGAGAGTGGAACAGGACTTGGATAAAGATTTCAAAATAAGAGTCTTTCATTCAGAAATATTTATTTATTCACTAAAATATATCTAGAACCTTATTCATTATTCTATTATTTCAGATTAAGTCAATTTATGAGAATATTGGAGTCAGAATGACAGGTCAAACTTATGAAGATGTTTATAATATGGCAGCAAGTCGTCATCCAAAAGGTCATGTCAGTGTGGAATCCTTCAGGAATATCTTGGATGAATTACAAGAAAGCCAACTTCAAAGTGGAAATCATCCGCTGGCTGTTTAAGAAATGTTTCTTGAACAAAATCATTACATCATTGCAGAAAGCTTACATAACAATATTTATCTTTGTTCAATATAATCAAAGACTTTATTCATAAAAATCCAAATATTTTCAAATTGAGAATTAGAAATCAGACCCAGGTACAACAAAAAACCATTTTTCTTGGTTTTCAGTTTTGGTTAAAGTATGATGGCACGATGTTCTAAAGCCTGCACTTTAGATAATAAGTTCTGGCAGTGAGACAAGTGGCATGGTTTCGATCCCACATATGTGACAAGGAGTATAGGGTCGTCTGCCTCCCATGGTGGGTTTTCTCCATGCCTGAAATTGTTTGTCCTGAAATAACCAGGTTTGTGTTGAGTGGGTGTTAGACATTATTCTCTTTGGTAAAATTATTCAAATTTGAGTACAATACCCAATAGTGGCTTATTGGGCTGTAACTAATATGAAAAAATCAGGTGATATATATATTTTTATCATAAATATAATATTTATTATGGGTGAAATGTCTCAAAGATATAATTTCGATTTGCCTTAAACTGTCTCAGTATTACAATCAAAATATTGCTCATTAAATATTTTTTACAGGTGAAATGTCTCAAAAGATATAATTTCAATTTGCCTTAAACTGTTTCAGCATTATAATCAAAATGATGCTCATTAAATATTTATTAAAGGTGAAATGTCTAAAATTTATAATTGCAATTTGCCTTTAACTGTCTCAGCATTATAATCAAAATTTTACAATATAATCTTCCTAGTCAAAAGTTATTTCAAATATAATTAAGGTCATACAAAACAAAATGTTCAGGTTCTCAGACAATACTTCCCAAAAATCTGATGAGGGTAGGCAATCTTTCAAAGGATCATGTGACTGATCACAAACATCATGTTTCAAGGCACTACATTTATTTCATCATGTTGTTTATAGTAATGTATGATTATCCAGTATCATGACTGTCAATAACAGGGTTGCATACTTGATAACGTAGCATATGGTACACTTTCGGTTTCATTTGATTTTTTTTTATAGAGTTAGTTCCTGTAAAGAGGGGAAAGATGAATGTGCAGCAGTTAATGAGACTGTTGTTTTTATTTTTTAATTTCTTCAGATAAAAATGGGTTATGCGCCCCTTTTTATATGATGCTGGAGTATCTGAGAACCAGATTATTTTTCTTTTTATGGCCTAAGATATAAAATGTTTAGGAAATTAGTTTTTAAAGTCCTTATGAAAAGGTAAAATTACTGCACTATAGTCTAGTCATCTAGTGATGATCAGTTGGTTTTAAAATTAATCATACAAATAATTATTCAATGAAATTAATTCATAATGAAAAATTTACAATATAAAGCGATTAATAAGGGATGGTAATCAATTCTGACCCCGAGTTCAAAAAGCATTCCTAGACTTATGTTAAGAAATTATTCCACTATTAATCATACAGGTCACAATTCTAAGGAATCAAAGAAATATCTTTGATATTCAGAAACACAGAAACTTTGCACATATAGTTTCTTATTGATGTATTTGGTATATTAAAACAACAAGAGCCTTATACGGAGCTATAGTTTAGTTAAATTAAGGGGAATAATTTTGAGTAAATTCTTAACGTAAGCCTGAGAATGTTTTGTGAACTTGGGGCCTGGTCTAAAGATAGTATTTCATGTTTTATATAGAGGATTTCTCGTAGATTACATTTACTGGTAGTCAGCTGGTTTTGATTTATCAAAATATAGAGGTCAAATTTTTCTCAAGTGTCCAATTTGGCTTGATTCCTTGCACATGGGACTTCAGTGAAACCTCATTGGTTGCCATGTTTCCTGTTTTGTTTTTTTTATAAACAATATTTATTCAGAAACTGAGGGAATTTTCCTGTTTCCATAATACATGTTGGCTTCTGCTTTTTAAAAATAAGATTTTGAGTGAATAAAGTAAAAAGAGGGGGTAGCGAAGAACATTTCCAATAAAGTACAATTTAATCCGAAAGTGCTTCCTGAAAATAAACTTTATAGGCCTATCAACAGTATTAAATTTTAATGAAATTTATTTATTCATGCATTATTTACATATTTTTAAGTCACATTGTCAGTATTAAAAGGATAAATTACAGCGCATCTATGAATGAACTATATACATCAACAGTATTAGATTTTCATGAATTATATATTTATTCTTGCATTTTTTACATATTTTTAAGTCACATTGTTAGTATTTTTAAAGTAAAAGGATAAATTACAGCGCATTTATGAATAAACTATATACATCAACAGTATTAGATTTTAATGAATTATATATTTATTCATGCATTATTTACATATTTTTATGTCACAGTGTCAGTATTAATTTTTAAATTAAAATGATAAATAAAAGCACATATATGAATGAACTATATACATCAACAGTATTAGATTTTAATGAATTATATATTTATTCATGAATTATTTACATATTTTTAAGTAAGTATTTATTTAAGATTATTGAAAGGATAAAATACAGGGTATGTATTGTTGAAAGAATAAAACAGTGTATTTATTCAGTATTTATGCACTTATTACAGTGGTCACTATATCAGTATTTATGCAAATGTTAAGGTAGTCACTTAATCAGTATAAGTCAAATTATCACTATTATCAGTATTTATTTGAATTTTATGTGTAGGAACACGTTTAGCAGCTTAGTAACAGTATTAATTATTTAATAAAAGGGTATTTGAAATATTATTATGCTTTTAATTTTTTAAATATTAAGTCCAATTTCAGTCAATATATTTAATTAATAATAAAAGCATATGATCGAAAAATTTTTCTTATGAATATTATAGTCATATTATCAGTATTAATTTATAATCAAAAGGGCACTTAAAAGTATTATATAAATTTTTTTGAATATTATAGTCAACCGATTAAGTATTAATTAACTAAAAGGGTATTGAGAATATTTATTATATATCTATTATACATATATTATATATATTATATCACATTTACTTAATACATGTATTAGTAAAGATTTAATATGTCATTATTTTTATTAAATATTTATTTACCTGTCTGAGAAATATGAAACCAAGACATGTACAACGAAACTATTAATTCTTTTGAAGTAATTTATATATTGTGTATACTGTTTATATGGTACAGTACATTCCAGTTACTTAATACATGTATTAGTAAAAGTTTACTATGTCATTATTTTTATTAAATATTTATTGACCTGTCTGAGAAATATGAAACCAATACAACGAAACTATTGATTCGTTTGAAGTAATATATATGTATATTGTATATATAGTACAGTATATCCCACATGCTTAATACATGTATTAGTCAAAATTATACAAATATTGTCATTATTTTTATTATATGTATTTACCTGTCTCAGAACTATGCATTTGAATGTAATAGAATATTTAATATATATTATGTTATATGGCTTGCATTAATCAAAATTTTGTGATAATTTATAATTATTTAATCAATATTATTTGACTGTGATTTACATCCGGTTCATCTGCTGTGAAATAAAATATACTCTCCAAATAAAGATCGTTTTAATATAAAGGGTAACCCCCCCTTTTATAAATGATACAATGAAATAAAATGCAATGGGTTTTAACATCATGCTTTTCTCTAACCTAACTGGGCTAATGAAGGCGGGCATACTCCATGCAGTGTGCTATGAGGATACTTTGTACAAGTCAAAGAGTACATAGTATCCTGGCTTTACATCCCATCTGAAGGACTAGATGCTGTTCCTTCCCCCTGTCCTGTATCAGACAAGAAGAAACCATGTGGGAAAATCCTGGGGAACTTTATGTGTAGAACTAATTTACTACCCCATAATCCCAGGGGGACTTTGTATGTAGAATTAATTTATACAGATGATAAAAAAAAAATCTATATTCTAACTATCTAAGCTAAGGGTTCCCTCAACCTTAATCCTGTTTAAGGGTGGATTTATCTACCTATGATGTTTAAAAGTTTGATATGTTATCTATCGTAATAGTAGTAGAAGGTCAGTGTCAGATCACAGCAATGTGGAATGAGACGATTGGGTTTCTCCCAAATATGATCTTAATAGATATGTTGATTGTTGTATCAGTGTAATACCTGAAGTTTGACAGGAGAAATATGAGATATAGGGTCTACCTAATGTCAGATATTCACCATTTCAGGTAGCAGAGATAGGTAAAAATTTGTTAAATAATCAACTTGGTAAAATTGTAACTTTTCATCAGAACATGAGTAATGTTTGAAAATATTTTTTTTACTGTGAATACTGTTTGATAAAGATACTTTTACTGTGAACTGTTTGATGAAGACACTTTTACTGTGAATGTTTGATAAAAATACTTTTACTGTGAATACTGTTTGATAAAGATACTTTTACTGTGAATAATGTTTGATGAAGATACTTTTTCTGTGAATAATATGCCAGTAGCAAGTCGTGAGTTTGAAGGTAAAAAAAATGTAGTTTCAGGTTTTACATGGAGTGTTAGAGTATGGAGAGGATTATCAAATTTAAATATTCTATTAAAACTGAATGATGTAGAAGATAAAAGTATTACATCATGTAAAGTTGACATCACATATAAACTTTTCAATAAAAGAGATGATAGACAATATGTGGAAATACAGCAAGATGGGATTGTTGTTGCTGGTCGTTCACTAGCCTGGAATACACTAATTAACTGGGGGGAACTCATTAATCCTGTGACCAGTGAATTTATTGATGGTGATGGAAACTTTACAATTCAAGCAACAATTAATAAAATAACTGACATTGAAAGAAGTAATCCATCAGCCAAGTAATTATCATGTATTAGGTTGTGGTCAACACCATTAATTAAACTTATATGGCTGAATTATTTTTAAATATTTTGTTTATTATGATGCAAGGGAAATAACTTCATAGCACTGTCCATTGATTTTACCCAGGGTTTAGCTAGTTGGATCGGATGTGGGTCTCTCCCTCAGGGGTGAAAAAAGTTTGGAAAAAAACCCCTGACTGTAAATACCGGTAATGCTTTCTAGAGTACATCCTGAATGCAAAACCTGTAGAGACTTCAAACCATCAAGTAGATAATATATCAAGAAATAATTCTGATAAGGTATCAAATTTTCTCCTTTGTTATACTTATGAGTAAAGGTCCCCTAAACTATGTGAGCCCATTAATTAACTTCTTTGGTGAATACTAATTGTACGCCGGCTAGGGAATTTCCGGAGTCCACAATGACCACTTTATTTATAAGCATAAATGAGTATTTTGGGGAATACTAACCCTATCCCTAACCCTTTTAAGAGGGTAAAAGGTAAATTGGTTGGGGAGGTTCAGGAATTTCCAGAGTCCACAAGGGCCGCTTTATATAAATGAGTATTTTAGGGAATACTAACCTTAACCCCTTTTAAGAGGGATAAAAGATAAATTGGATCCAATATCAGTCTTCCCAAAAAGGTTAGGGTTAGTATTCCCCAAAATACTCATTTCATACGTGAAATGAAAATGAAATGAAATGGGGTTTAACGTCCTACTGTTCTGCTCCTATACTGGGCTAATGAAGAGGGGCATACGCCATACAGTGTGCTATGAGGGACATTTTGCCCGGGCAGCTGCACTATCGCCTACTCTTATATCAAATTCCAACTGCCAAGGGATCGTTTACGTGCATTCCAATGTATACACGGACCTCGGTTTTTTCGTATCATCAGGACTAGACAGCTGTCCTTGTCAGGCCCTCCGTTCTGCACCACTGACAAGGGGAAACCACGTCGGAAAATCCAGATGAACTTTCTCGGCCAATGCAGGGATCGAACACCCGACCTCCAGGCTAGCGAGCCAACGTCTTAACCACCTAGCCACCGTGGTACACAAACTTTATTTCTGAGACTCTGTTAAATTTGGGATGGTCCCTTTAATAAAAACCAACACTCACAGATGTTTATGATAATGACTTTTTTTATCAATAAATAGACATACTGAGTTTTATTATCTTTTAATTGTGACTAAAATTGTCAATTTAAATTCAATAATATCACAGATTGTATGGTTTATAAAATTTGTCCTATCACACCTCAAATACCACATCCAGGTAATAAAGTTATCATAACTGTAATGTTATCTCTTGATCCAGCTAATAGAGCTGCCTGGACTAAATGCTCTGCCATTGATTTAGCTAATTCTCTTCTGAAATCTGATTGGGTCTCTGGTTTGTGATCAGGTATATGACAGTTAACTGGCATGGAGATCATTTCGTTGTCATGGAGACTGGTATCTAAGTCTTCCCCATAATGGCTGCCGACTTCTGTTTTTAAATCGGCATAAATTGTCACACCATCCACACGTTTTTCTTTTCTTTCTGTACTGGTGTTCTCCTCTGCTATTCCTTTCTCTAAGATAATGTCTAGATTATCAGAACTCTCTTTAGATATCAGGAGTTCTACTGATTCCGACATTCGGCTTGGAGGTGGAACTTGGTTACATGGCAAGAGCTAAAAATAGACATAATAAAGATCGAATAAGTAGATGACTACATTTACGATTATTCTATTGGTTTTCTGAAATCAACAAACATTTGTTATTTTAACAATTTTTACTGATTAACTATGCCGGTAATGATTTTAATTCCTGGTGTTTAAAAGTCAATAGTATCATGTTTATTTGAAAGCCAATAAAAATCTATTTGTGCTGTTTGTGTCAAAATAGATTATTTGAAATGGTGTCTAGAAATGTGCTTTTCTAGTTTAATGGTTACTCCAGGGCTGTTTATAAATATTGACCGAACACCACAGCTTTAATAAGTTAAAGGGAGATAATTACAATTAGAACGTAAAAATAAGCTTTATAGTTAGAATTGAAATGCAATGGGGTTTAACACATCCTACTCTTATATTGAGTTCTGACTGTCAATTTGTACATGACACCCCCCCCCCCCCCTCCCCTCTTACCCCCCCTCCCTTAACTCACCCACCACCCGCCCGCTCCGTTTTTTTTTTTATAAACAATATTTTACTCTCCGAAAACTACCAATGGTTCTTTGTCGTGCACACCAATGTGTACACAGACCTCTTTTTTTTCCCCATCTGAATGACTATATGTTATCCTCTGTCCTGCACCCCAAACAAGGGGGAAGCACGCCTGAAAATCCAGATGTACTTTCTTGGCCAACTACAGGATCGCACATGGAACATCAGGTAAGCAAGCCAAGGTCTAAATCACTGGGCCACTGCGGCTCTCTTTATAGTTAGAAAATCGGGTTTAACATCCTACTTTTCTGCAACAACTGGGCTATGGATCAGTCATGTCTTGCAGTGTACTATAGCTATGAGGAGAATTTTGCCTGGAGAGCAGCATTTCTGCCTACTCTTCAGCGAAATGCAACTACCAAGGGTTCTTTTACGTGCACACCAATGTGTACGCAGGACTCCATCACATCTGAACGACTAGACATTATTCCTTGCCGGAACCTCCGTCCTACACCACTGACACAGAAAAACCATGCTAAAGAATCCCAAGGATTGAACCACGGACACCCTGATTAGTGAGCCAGCTCCTTACTCACTGAGCCACTGTGGATACCATTATACTTAGAACATGAGAATGCTAGCATTTCATTTATATTGAAAACAAAACTTTTATGTGTTTCTAATATTTTTCTGAATCTTGTTAAATAAAACTATAACCAAAATCTATAAAAATAAGAAACAGGGTGGTTAAAATTTCTGTAAATTTCTATTAAAAAATATTTTGGTAAAAAACTAATCTAATAATTCATTAATCATAAACTATCTACATTAAAATTCAACCTAAAACTATATTCGTAAATACCTTATTCTTTATAGTTTTTCTGATATGCTTAAAAAACAGAATTGTAGATTTTGATGAAATGTTTTAATATATACAAAACAGTTATTTAAACTACATATAATAGAGCCAATGGCAGATTTTAATTCTAGACATCGTAAGACGCCAGCTACCCCACCTCCACCCTTTCTCGACAACACAAAGGTAAGTCATTTTTTTTAAAATGAGAAGGAAAAAATAATAATGTGTGATTCCAGATTTTAGAAAATATATTTTTAGGAAGGTGTAGAATGAACTCCAGAATATGCCCCATTTCATATGACTAGATATTTCGTACATATTAACAGTTTACAAATCTCCTTTTTCCTTATGGAGTGCTTCCTCCATCCACTACGTCCCCTATCTGAAATAAGCACACAAAGAAGTGGACTACAACAAGGCGAGGCTCTCGTTTGGTCTTCTGCTCTACCCACCTTTTCAATGTTCCAATATCTACATTTGTGGGTGACGAAACCGCACTAAACAAAGGTCCATGACAGTCAAATTATATCTTGATAAATAACAAATTGGAATAAAGCTTAACGTCTTATCAAGACTTTATGTAGGTCATTTTGAGACTAACATGCAGTTGTTTCTAATTGTGGTTAAATGTGCAATGGCGCACTTTCCCTGTCATCAACTGCAGTCAATGCCCCTAGCAAGTGGTAAAAGGTTTTGAAGACCCAACCTGCTTGGATTTCCACTGCACAAATCCTTTGAGTTCAGTGTCCTTCAGATTTTACATATTATTACATATCAGTACACACATACCTTTAATAGGAGTGATGCCACTTCTAGGTCAGAAAATACCTCCCATACACCATTTGATGCCATAACAAGGAACTGGGCATACTGATCAATGGCAACACATGTTGTATAAGGTTCTACCAAAACACTTTTCTTTAACTTTAAATCACCATGGTTACCAAGACCTCTGGTTGTTGACAATATTCCATTAACCCTGCAATCCTTGGAACCAACATTTACTGAACAACCTAAAACATAGAAACAAGTATAGGTTCTATTAAAATCAACAGAAGCATTACTTGTTGCCAACACTCTGGTGCAGAAAAGTAGGACATTAAACCTTTCTTTTCATTTGCATTTTTCAGAAAAGATCACATGTTTAAAAAAAGATCACATTTTTCAGAAGAGATCACATCACATTTTTCAGAAGAGATCACAGAGATCACATTTTTCAGAAGAGATCACATTTTCAGAAAAGATCACATTTTCCAGGAAAAAGATCACATTTTTTCAGAAAAGATCACATTTTTTCAGAACAGATCACATTTTTTCAGAAAAGATCACATTTTTTCAGAAGAGATCACATTTTCCAGAAAAGATCACATTTTTCAGAAAAGATCACATTTTTCAGAAAAGATCACATTTTTCAGAAGAGATCACATTTTTCAGAAAAGATTTTATTCTTTAGCTAAATCCAAGCTAAAGGGTACTCATGTTGACAGATTTTCAATTGATCCTATCTTTGTACATATTTTCCATGGCTTAATCAACGCTATGTCAAAAATCAAAATACCAACGCTAGATAATATTCCGTCTTTTATTCATTCAGATGTACAACAGACCTGCCAATTTGGTTCACGGCAAACACAGAGCAACATCTTGTTAAATAAGGAACAGCATAGATTGATGGAATACAGAACGCAATTGGACCATTTTTGGACTGATATCCCTTTCAACTTTCACTATATTGTAGTTTGCAAGAGATTCAATAAACGTTTTGCTGGTGTGGTTTCCCCTTGTCAGTGGTGCAGGATGGTGGGCCTGACAAGTACAGCTGTCTAGTCATTCGGATGTTATGCAAAACCGAGGTCCTGTTTACACATTGGCATGCACGTAAAAGATCCCTTGGCATTTGGAATTCGATATAGAAGTAGGCTGTATTGCCGCTGCCCGGGCAAAATTTCCCTCATAGCACACTGAGCAGAACAGTAAGATGTTAAACCCCATTTCATTTTATTTCATTTCAATAAACTTACCTGCTTTAATAACTCGTTCTCTCTCTTTCCTATTTTTAGGTGTATGATCTTTAGTCAGTTGATATGATCTGTTACCTCGTACTAATACCCCACGAACATTTCCTTTAATAGACAAGACAGAATCAACTTAAATATATGTGGATATTAAAGGTGTATCCTTCAGTATCTAGTCTGAAATGGTTTACACAATCATCAACCAGAATTATGATTCGTTCGGGTTTAAGTAATAAATTATCGTGTTCCAATGTATCGGCAACTCAAATTGCTTATCTCTACTTAACCTCAGCAGAAAATGTTCATCATTAATTAAACTCAGTTAAAACATTTGCTTAATCAACATTTTCGACGGTGGGGGGTGTGGATGGCCAAATGGTTAGCGTGTGCGCATTGTATCATAAGGTCTGTCGACTGGCATGATTTCATCCAGGTGTAGGGTCACCTGTCCAATCTTGTGGGTTTTCTCAGGGCCCTCCAGTTTCCTCCCACTGCGCACAAACGAATTACTGACATAAAATTGCACCATATGTTAGTCCAGAAATGACCTAGTTTGTGTCGAGTGGACGTTAAAACCCATTTCTCTCTCTCTAATGAACATTTTCAGGAAGTCTGAAGCAGAATTTTTGTGTTCTGAAATTGACAGACAGAAAGGCAAACCCATTTTAATATTTCCTAGCTTTCTCTGAAAGGCAGTAGATAAAAACTACCATAAAATTACCTGCATTAGCTAAATGTAGGAGGCCCAGTTCCTTAGGAGTTTCAGGAGACACACCATCTTCACTGTCACAAACGGTGTCTGCTTTGGCCGTATCTTGTATAATGACATTTAAAGATGAACAACCACTCCACCGAACTTTCGAATGTTCATCTTTTCCATACGATAAGAATATGTCAAATAATTGATATGCTTTTTTAAATGCTTCAGATATTTTTTCTGAAAAAGGATTTTTGAATTTAGATTTAGCTTTTTGTGAATTTTCTACATTGTCTCCCATTAATTGTGCATATTTTTCTTCGCACATGGCAATTATTTGTTGCACTAGTTTCACACTGTCTTCATGTAAATTGGCACGCTCACTCTCTTGTGTCATAGGGCGATGTGTTGCTATGGTGTTTTCGTCCACCACATTTAGCGCTACTGTAGATTTTGTTTTTGGATCAAACTTCTGCATCTCATTTAATAAAATTCCATGAAGTTCCATAGCAGCTGCTTCAGCGGCAAAGTGTCCGTTATGACCATCAAAAATCCCCAGATAGCATTTGTTTGGATCTTCACCAAAATAATCTTGGTACACTCGTGTATCCTCCATATTCTTTTTCCAGCGCTGATTGCTACTGGAAGCAATACCCACGGCATACGCACAAGATGGACTACAATTCAAAGCTACTCCATTTACTTGCGTATCAACATCACTTTGTATTTGACGGAATTCTTCATAAGTGTCCTCCAAATTGGCTTTCAGGTATTCATACGCCTCATTGATCTGTTGTATATGATGAGGGTCTGGAGGTGATTTGCCCACGGCCATTTGTTTAAGTTTTTTAATCAGCTGACCTCTTCTTTTAAACAGTTCATCTACATTCTGTGGTAGTGAATCTCCCTTATATTTCATGAGTAATAAACAGCCGTGATATTTCCGATGTTCTTTCAGATCAACAATGTTAACAAAATATCCACATTTTTCACATTTGAGGGTAATATCTGGTTTGTTGGGAAAATCTGCCAGTAATGTGTTAGGTGTATCTGAAAAAAAAAAATACCCAACATATATCAAATAGCGTATAGCTCTTTGGAACCTTAAAATAGACGAAAATGTGTTGAAAAATGAAATGAAATGGGGTCAACGTTCTACTGTTCTGCTCCTAAACTGGCTAATGAAGACGGGCATACGCCATACAGTGTGCTATGAGGGAAGTTTTGACCCGGGCAGCAGTGCTACGGCCTACTCTTATATCAAATTCCAACTGCCAAGGGATCTTTTACGTGCACACAATGTACACGGGACCTCGGTTTTTCATACCATCCGAACGACTAGACAGCTGTCTTTGTCAGTCCCTCCGTCCTGCATCACTGACAAGGGAAAACCAATGTGCTGAAAAGCACCCATTAATATACTATTCAAAAAAAGTAGGGGATATTTGATTTTTAAGTGTTATTAAAGTCACCTAATGAAACTGACGAAGAAACAAATGACAAAATGAAATGAAGTTCACATTCATCGATTTATTCCAAATGATCGTTAGACTAAGTAAGGCACAGACTGACCATTATAAGGGTAAAATGATACCCGGGGTCAAACAGCAAAGTTACCACAGCATCACAACCAAGTCAGTAACGGGTAAATCCTCCTCTGTTTGCCAAACAAGCATTGATCCGACGTGGCATACTCCTAATGAGACGTCTAAGGTCATTTTGGTCCAGATTGTCCCATTCCTGTTGCAACGCAGCAGCAAGTTCTTGGACATTGGCAGGACGTTGTTGACGTTGACGTAACCTCTGTCCAAGCATGTCCCAGACATGCTCGATGGGGGAGAGGTCGGGACTCAGTGCTGGCCAAGGTAATGTGGTGATGTTCTGTTGTTGGAGGTAACCTGTAACGATCCTGGCCCTGTGACATCTTGCGTTGTCATCCTGGAAGATGAAACGGCGGCCATGACGTCGTGCGAACGGCACAACATGGACTGCCAAGATGTTGTCCCGGTAGTACTGGCCTGTAACACGCCCTGCAACAACATGTAAAGCCGTTCTTCCAGCAACAGTGATGCCTCCCCACACCATAACAGAACCACCCCCAAATCGATCATGTCTGATGACGTTAACGTCTTGGAAGCGCTCGTTTCGACGACGCCACACCCTCCTACGTCTGTCCAAAAAATCAACAGTGAACCTTGACTCATCTGAAAACATCACATTGCTCAAGCGTCGATTATCCCAGTGTTGACGATCCCTACACCAATGACGTCTTGCCTGAATGTGATGATCTCTCAAACAAGGGATCACGCGAGGACGTCGGGCGCGAAGGTGACCCCTATGCAGTCGACTCCGAATCGTCTGGCCACTCACTCTCACACCAGTGTCTGTTTGAAGACGAGCGCTGATCTGATTTGCTGTGATGACCTGATTTCTCAAGGCCAAGGTACGGATAAATCGATCCTGGGCTTGAGTTGTCGCCCTTGGTCGACCTGAGCGTGGTCTGTCCTGTACAGATTGTGTATCACGGTATCTGGACCATAGCCTGCTTATGACAGACTGAGAAACATTCATCATCCGCGCCACAACCGCCTGTGTTGTGCCGATCTGTAGCATGCCAAGGGCACGTAACCTTTCATTTTGGGTAAGCCGACGCATATCAAAATTTGTTTTCTGGTCACTAAAACAATTAAACTGGTGTTTCCACCCTGGAATTCAATGCCACAATGACTGTAACATTCAAAGTCAGAGTCGTGCAAATCTTGGGTTGGACCCCCATGATGATCCCAAGCATCACCTGCATTCCATGCGGTAGCTATTGGTGCGTTTGGGCGTCACATGTAACTGGGAATGTTTCTTCTGTTAGGTTCTATAGTGACTTTTTTCGTAGTCATTTGCATATTTTAGTATTATGCCCCCAAAATCAAATATCCCCTACTTTTTTTGAATAGTATATAATATGAATGTAAATAAACTGATTTACATTCAATTTTTAAAATATTTTATTGTCATTTCTAAATCAGTTATGTTTGTTGAAATACATGAGAAGTCTAAATTGAGGCACAGTTTTGTCGTACAGTCTACACATTTATCTCTTTTCCTTTTTGTCACAAGTGGATCCGCCATTTTAAATTACATTGACTTGTGGGATTTGTTTTGATTTGTTCAACAAGTCTTTTTATTACAAAAGGCGCTGGACACTATCTTTAAAATTAGTAAAGATATTTCATTGTTATGAGAGAGCTAGGAGAGCAGAGTATAGTCCTTCGAATGGATCTATAATGTATTTCCATCTATAAGATTCACTGTACATTTTATATTTTTCTTACTTACTTTCTGTCATTGCAAAAATCCCAAAATTCAAAATTTCTGTTAAAATCACAATTTACTGTTATAATAATTCTATCTTAAAATCAACATCATATATTTACACGAGTTGAAAACTGTGCAATATCAGAAGGTCGTGTTATACTGACTATATAGATATACAATATGCTATTGTGTAGCCTACTTAAGTACAACATATATGGTTGCCTAGTCTACAGCATGGATTTATAAGCCTAGTCAATTCAAATTGAAATACATAAGTCTAGGCCAAGCCATATTAGAGATTCTAATATTTGATTTTCTAAAAGATTTACAGCATTGGTGGTCTAAAGTGTATGCTTTGGATCATAAGGTCTGTCACTGAATCAAATGGTGTGTTGTTGACCCAATGCTTGTACATGACTAGTAGGGTTGCCTGTCCAACCTTGTAGGTTTCCTCCCACTGCTAATGACCCCTACACGCAAGCAATTTAGTGAAATAAAATCAACCCATGTTGTAAGACCTGAAATTACCTAGTTTGTGTCGAGTGAACGCTAAACCCCATTTCACTTTCTCTCTTATTAATGTGAAGCCCTACATGTATTCATAAACGACGTACATGGTCCTTGCATAAACAGAAGAGGTTGTTTGAGAAATATTCGCTAAATCTCCGCTCATTGAAAATGGCAGTAGGCATATTTCTAACATAAGTATTCATTAAAATTTTATCTATATTCAAACAACTAGGAAACATTTAAGCCAGATTTGTAACCTACACCATGTATGCATACAGGGATATTAAAAAAAAGATCTATTGAGAACTCTGACCAATATCAAGGGGAGAGGGTTGATTCTGCATACAATTCTGAATTGCGACAGAGCTTTTCATTATGCTCCAAAGGACAATCCCTGTGATAAAGATGTAGATTGGTCACAAGGAATTATGGTTGATGAAGGTGAACGACAAACTAAGGCACATTAAACGTGGGTATATAAAAAAGCACTGATTACCTGTGCGAAACATATCTATTCCTTTAAAAACCTCTGTTCCGTATTGTATATCATAACCTGATGCACTGTCTGGTGTTGTACCCGTGACATTTTGTTCATGTTGACCGTTGGGTTTAGTGTTCGGAATATTTGGTGAGCTCTGTCTCAGGGAAGCCAGATCAAGCGCTGGAACTTGAAAGGAATTCCTGGATTCCATCATTCTAAAGCTATGTGACGGCTAAAAAATAGACAAAAATTAATAATTATATTTCTCTTGTTTGAGTATCCCAATTTGATCCAGGAGTATATATTCTACCTCCCTGGTTTTAAAATTCCATCCTCAGGCACATGTCCGGGGGAGGAGGTGTCCAGGGAGTCAGCACCCCCCTGCTCATGTGGAGCCTATACAAGAGAGACCCTGGAGAGTGCCTATACATTTATAAAGAGTAAATTTCCATCAGAAATGTCCTCAGATGCAAGGAAATCGACTTCAAATTTTCTGGGAGGGGGAAACCCCCATACCCCCTCAAGATTCTGCAGTCAGTCACGCCAGAACAGGGCCACCCAACACCCCTCCCCACTCATTTTTCTACACACTCCCCTGACCCTATCTTGCTCCATCACACTTTGTAGTACAATTTAATTCTGTGAGTCTAATTTAATTCTTCTTCAAAACCCATAGACACTCTAAATATTTTTTTTTATATAACAAGGGTAGGATGTCTGATGTTATTTTTCAGTTAAAAATTATAATATTTTAAAGTGTCTTCATAACAGAAATATAAAATATTTTTATAAAACTATATAAAAATGTCTAAATTGGATTATCTTTATTAATAATTTATCAGGCTCTAAAATAGGCTGCCGAAAGAATAGAATATCCAATTCATGCATAAAATATTATGTTTACAATTTTCATAATTAATATTTTTTTTGATAAATCGCCACTTTAATCAAACTTTCGGTTGGTGACCAGGGGTAGAACTACGTCCAAAACAATAATTTTTACACTTTGCCTCACAATAGTCATACGGTATAAAGTAATAATGATACCTACAGATTATTCACCGTGAATAACATTCAATTCATCGATAACTTAAAAACTTGTTTTTCTAACAAGTATCGTGTTATAAACATACCTAATACACACTTTACTGTTACTTAGCAATTGTAAACAATATTAGCTGTCAGTTCCACCTGTCAACCTCCCTCGATTAGCCGAGACAATTGAGTTATATTCTAACGAGGGCGTAGAAACAAACAGCTAACGGATTTTGTGGAGTTATTCCCCTTCAATGGAATTGGCAAGTAATTTATTTTAAAGCGTAATTTGATAAAAAAAAAATTAAATTCGTCAATTTGTTTTGTACGTAAAAAAAATGAAAAAAACCCCCCGAAAAAACCATGAGATTCCAGCCGGAATAGTGGTTAGGTTTATTATGGCTGCAAAGAAACCATTATTTTTCGTCCTTCTCCGTTCGGCAACAAGTGTTGTCTTCCTTCGTACAACCTTGCTGCAAATTTAGGGTTCTTTGATATCTCCAACATTCAATTTTGCCAGTGGTCAGATGGGGTATGAAAGGGGCCAGAGAGATAGAATGGGAAAGCAGCGCTATGACAGGTACTCGAATTCCAACTGCCAAGGGATCTTTTACAGACATGCCAATTGTACGCCAAGATGTTTCGTCCCATCTGAACGACAATGCGTTGTTCATTGCCTCTCTAAAAAAAATAAATTCTGATGTCATCGGTATTGATTTGTGTGACCGACCTACAGACCCTTCTAATTGAAACAAAGATATTTTTAAGGTCAGCCTGTTGCTAAGGTAGCGATCGCTTTGATGAACATGTGGTCATCAAGGAGTAGTAATAATAGTATTGTCTTTTACCAGGCAAGGCATTAACTATTTCCTACCGTGGAGCCTAATAGCTGAACCTTCCTCTTCTTATGTCATGCAATTTGATAATGATAACCTGTTTTCTCATGCAAGTATCATCATTTATTTACAGGGGCAACTGTGGACGCATTCACGGACAGTGAAGATACCATTCAAGCTATTTCATTCCAGACGGAAGAAATGGGAAATACATTGACGCCACTTACAAGCTTAACGACTTACGTATGCCACTGTATGTACTTATGAATGTGGATGGGAATGGAGAATCAGAGGTTATTGCTCTTTGGCTTGTAGCGACTGAGGATAGAATGACAATATCGTTGTTAATTGATAAGTTCAAGAAAAGAAATCCAGATTGGAAGGACATTACAGTCATTATGGCTGACAAAGAGATGGTGAAACAAGATGTGCTCACAGAGACAATGCCTGGGGCGGATATCCTAATATGTCTTTTCCATGTAATGAGGAGCTTTCGGAGAGAGGTTACAACAGACAAACTTGGTATCTCCGAAGGGGAAAGAGATATGTCTTTGGAGTTTTTATCTAAAATATCACATGCATGTAGCGAGGAAGAATACCAGGCATTCTATGACGAGTTCACTCATTCAGTTCCTAGAACTGTGGTGGAATACTTAAAAACAAATTGCCACGATATTTGAAAACAATGGGTCGAGGGACTAAACAATGCAAAGGCGAATTTCTTGAATAATACAATCCCTTGGATTCAACAATCAAAAAATCAAACAGGTGGTCACAAGGTATTCAGGAGTTATTGTGTTCTTTCAGGACTTGATGCTCTGTATCCATAGTCTCAAAAATGAAAGAGACCATCGCGAATCATATGTTACAACTAAAGAGACAATTGATCGGCATCCTAGATAAAATGCAGAGATGGGATACAAGGGACTGCATTCAAGCTTGTATAGAAGCAACTGGATTATTCTGGCGCAACAACAGTTTTGGATGACAGGTCTGCAATAATTAAAACCAAGTCGCTGGGTGATATTGTGGTGTCCATCGACTTTTCTCAATGCAGCTTCTTTACTTCTATGCTACTTCCTTGCAGGCATGTGTTTGCAGTCAGGCACCACTTCAACAACATAGGATATGACGAAGCAATGTATGCAAAGAGGTGGAGTGTTGCATATTTTATGACTAGGCAACGTGTCTACTTTGACTATAGTCCAGAGGCAGCAGCACCTGACATTGCGGTTTTCTGGCCAAGCATGACGTGTTAGGAATTCCGATCTGAATACATACTGAATATCCCCTTTGTTGGCACTATTTTTGTGATGAGCAATTTTGTATTTTGTCCTTGAAATTGCAAAATTTGTGGCCTGCATAAACTGATGGGATGCTCTCTTCAAGGTTTTCCAGTCCTTAGCATGATAATAATTCCACGCAAACAAGGGAAACGTGGTAAGCCAAAAGAGGCAGGTGCCACAACAGCCATTGGATTGCCAGAGAAAAAGCAAAAATGTAACGCATCAAAAGGGGGTTGCTTTCAGACAGAAGTCCCTGGCAGAAAAAAAAGTAGAAGTGTGTTATAGAAAATCCTGGCCAACTTGCTTTGATCACTGATAATATTTCATATCATTGATGGCCTTTGTCTAGATCATCCAGTCTTGTTCATGTGTGAACGATTTTTCTGTATTAAGAGTTCCAGTTGCCGATTATACGTCACAGGGGCGTGCTGGCCCCGAAGGGGCTCGGGGGCCTGTCGGTCGCCGAAGGCGCGCCGCTGGTAGGGGGGTCTAGGGGGGGGGGGGGTTCTCCCCCCAGAAAATTTTTGAAATTTGACAACGGGAAACGCGTTTTGCAAGCACTTCTGGGAGAAATCTAGGTATCATATTTTCCAAATTTATGCTGCTATTTTGACTATAAGACATACTGTACTTTCTCTGACTCCACTTTATGATTTTGCTGTAGTCGGCAAAATTTTTAATCAAAGACCATTTCACCTTAAGGTGACAGACATTTGCACGTCAGCATAATATATTTTACTAATCGTTGTGTATGTATGATTTTTCGCGTGCGCACTCTCAGTCTTTTGAGGGGATTCCGCGTGAAAATTAGAGCTCTCAGGGGGGCCCGCTTATACGGGTGGACTTATTGTTTAATGGGGGCCTGGGAGGACACCGTCCTCCTAAACTCCCTGCCAGCACGCCCCTGATGTGTCATTTTGTCATGTAACGACTTGGTGGTTATTAGACCTGTTAGAGACAGGATAGCCCCCTTTAACATTTAAAAATCAGATAGTTGCAAACTTCTTTCACCCCAACCCCACGTGTCTTTATTCTTTTATCTTTCAGTCATGTTGCTTTGCTTTGTTGATGAGGAGATCAGTCATGCCTTCGCACAGATATCTTGATCCAAGTCATTCAAGTCAAAGTCCCAGAAAGAATTTCACTGAAATGCCTTGATGAAAATGTAGCAATCATCATGATACGGAAGCATTTCTCATTTGATGCTTGTAACGTTGTAGAGGAGGCTGTGGAGAGATTGCATGTGAAGGGTACCTATCATTGCGAACGTTGCTGTGTCGATCATGATAAGTTTGATAGTATTGCATGTGATACATGTCCAAACTGGTTCCATCTGAAATGCGTTGGTCTCAAATCTAAACCCACGAAGAATGTTTGGTTCTGTAGGAAGTGCTAATTAAGTACAGAGTCTACCATTAGGTCTGCTGCTGAGCTATTGTACCCAGACTGGTGGTCATTTTTTCGTGCTCAGTCAGAGCAGAACAGTGGGAAGTAAACCACCATTTCATTTCATTTCATTTTGTTGTTAGCAGTTGCTCCTGATCAGCCACCCAGGTTTGACAGAGGCATTGTCTAGTGTGAATTAGTGTGAATGTGGCCCGTTAGCAACAAACAAGATGGCCACAGATATGGGAATCATGTAAACTTCATTCCTAGTCTTTCTCACTTCCTAATATATTGAAAATTGCATTCAAATTACTCTATTCTGAGCGAAGATATTAGCCTTTGACAGAATGTGTGCATTGATTGTACTGGTTGTTTGAAACTTAGGCTCGCTTTTCCATTTTTAAATTAAAAAATAAATGACCGAACTGTTCTTTTCTACTTATCCGATATCCGATAGCATTGCGAGTTGATAATGGTGTTGTCAAGTTAATTAATGTCTAATTAATAGTTTATGAAACATTTAAGGTCTAAAGAAAGACCGGCAGTTGGCATATTTAGTTCTTACTTAATGCCTGTTATACTATTTATTCCTAGCCTTTCTCACCCCCTAGTCTAAATGCTATGTCTGACTGGCTGGGGTGTTGGGTCACTGTATGACTTGAAAAATGAATTGAAAGTATTGCTATTAAACGGTATTTATTTTAAAGTAATTTTATAAAATTTATTAATCAATCCAAATATGTCTATAATAATTGTATTACTGATGAATTATTCAGAATGATTGTAAAACAAAATATAATATATTTGTTTTATATTAAGTAACCAGAAGATAATGAGATACTTGAAGGTCATTGCTTGGTTTGTCACTTGTTACCGTGAGATTAAGATTAAAGTGTAGTAAGACTATTATACCAGTCCAAACTTACGTCATTTTAATTCACATATATTCCTATTAAAATTCTCTTTTAACAGGGTTAGAGATTAAGAATATTATGAGCTTTTCTCGTAATTATCTACACGCTTTATATTGTTGAATATATCTCTATTAATGTTATTAAGGGACGGTAAATCATCAGTGTTAATGTCTTCCGCCTGTATTTGTGTCGCCATAGCTATTATCCTATTCTTAGGTATATATATTGGTGAATCAGTGGGATTTAGAATTAAATATATACATTTTCCCGTATTCACTTTAACTACACATTTGCTACCAGCGATTTTACAATTTATCAGTTTTGAATTTGGTTCTAACAAAGCCAAATTATCGTGGGGGATTTTAGATATCTTAGCATATATTTGTGTTTCACCATGCGGTTCTAACGTAATAGCATTAGCCGTCCTAACAAGACCTATACAAATTTTAGATACTTTAGTTTCATCTGTGACTTCCATCTTTACCGATAATTGTCCCCCGCCTTTCGAAGAAAGCAGGGGACTATTAAAATGGGTTCGTCCGTCTGTCTGTCCGTCTGTCCGTCCGTCTGTCTGTCCGTCACACTTTTTGGGACACAATAACTCTCTTCCTAATTGAGCTAGAATGTTCAAACTTGGTGTATGTGTTTATTAGGTCAATGCCTTGATGGAGTTCGAAGATGAGCATTTTCCGCTTAGGGTAAGCAGAGATAAGCAATTTGATTGGTTGATGCTTTGGGACACGATAACTCTCTTCCTAATTGGGCTAGAATGTTCAAACTTGGAGTATGTGTTGATTAGGACAATGCCTTGATGGAGTTCGAAGATGAGCATTTTCCGCTTAGGGTAAGCAGAGATAAGCAATTTGATTGGTTGATGCTTTGGGACACGATAACTTTTAATTGAGCTAGAATGTTCAAACTTGGTGTATGTGTTTATTAGGTCAATGCCTTGATGGAGTTCGAAGATGAGCATTTTCCGCTTAGGCTAAGCAGAGATAAGCAATTTGATTGGTTGATACTTTGGGGCACGATAACTCTCTTCCTAATTGAGCTAGAATGTTCAAACTTGGTGTATGTGTTGATTAGGTCAATGCCTTGATGGAGTTCGAAGATGAGCATTTTCCGCTTAGGGTAAGCAGAGATAAGCAATTTGATTGGTTGATGCTTTGGGACACGATAACTTTAGTTCTAATTAAGTGAGATTGATGAAACTTGGTGTATAGTTTCATTACAGTAATACCTTGACTAAGTTTGATAATGAGCATTTTCTGCTCAGGGTAAGCAGAGCGATACGCAATTTGATTGGTCGAGACTTTGGAAAACAATAACTCTCCTACTTTGATTGTTAGACTATAAGTAAAGATATACTGTTTGATTGTTCAATACTTTGTAAAAGATAATTTGTGATAAATTTATATGTGTCCTCTAATTATTTTCCTATTTCGGCGGGGGACATCAGCCTCACTGTTGGCTTGTTTATCTTCAATTGTGACCGTTTCGTTTGCGAAATTCAAAGCTAGCTTGTACTCTTTAATAAAATCAATACCTAAGATTAGAGGATGGTGTAAGTGAGGGATAACATAAAATTTGTGCTTATATGTACTATCTTTAATGCGTAATGTCAAATTTATAGTTCCAATTATTCCATGAGCTTCACCGCCAACTCCTACGATTTCAGGTATATCCGAAGAATTCAATTTTGCTTTAGATAAGCCTAAGTTTTCTAACAAACTTTTAGCCACACATGTAATTTGGGCACCAGTATCTAATAGCGAATGTATACTGTGGTTATTAATTTCTACTTTAATAAGGTTATCTTGAATAGGGGCTATGAGATATATTAATTTGTTAGTATGCCTGTCCAAAGGAGTCTTTGTAACAGGCGCCGTATCCTATTGTGATTGTTTTGGTGCATATCTTCTATCATTGCACCATTTCGCTACATGATCATTTGCACCACAATTAGTACAATGTTTGCGACCTTCATTATAAGAATTATAGTACTCACCCTGTCTTTGAAAGTTGTTATTGGCTCTATATTTCTGATGTGGCGGGCCTCGCTGGGACCTTGGTTGTTGGTTATAGTTGTTGTTATGAGGTCTGTTCTGGTAGTGATACTGCCGACTATTCTGTTGCTGGTGCCAATGGTGTTGTTGACTTGCTGCCACAGTTTCCTGCATCTGCTGCATTAATGCCACCTGCTGCTCACACATTTTGCCAAATACTTGACATAACTGATCTAAAGGTCCCGTTTGTATTTCTTGCTGCACTGGTTTATATGTTGCAGAAATGTTAGGTATCTCAATGTGTTTTTCCACTAAAAAACACACTTTCCGCAGTTCTGCCCAAGTAGTTGGACTCTTTAAGCCTACATCCTTGTGGTATGCCTTATGGAGTCCATTAAGAGTGGCCTTCATTGACACATCTTTAGAAACTTTTCTTTGGTGATGGAAAAGTTTCTATCATTTTGGCATTCTCACTATTCTTATATGTATTATGGTTATAGCTATTGTCGTGTATTTGATTTTAAAACGTCGTAGAAGTAATACACTTTTAATGCTTGAGCTGACTACAGGTTCTATATGCATTGCTCTTCCTATAATTAACCTTCCACTATGTCCCGCTCACTATGATATTATTCACCCTTCTACTCTCGATAAACTTTCTGTCACTTATAACCCTCTACCTTATCTTAATATTAACTGGCCAAACTTTCAGGCCATTAACAAACTAACGGCTAACTCGCATCCTATACCAAATAGCTTCCGCATTTCCTTCTATCACGCCTTTAAATTGCGATCATTTTTGAAAAAACGATATACAGCGTATTTGTTTATCGCCCACCACGGCTATTTACTTCCCATTGTAAATAATCCCTCGTATAAAAACATTTAAGCGACCTTCATGTGTGAGAATTATAGTACTTTACCCACTATTTTGCATGTATTGTATATAAATGTATTTCTTCTTTTATTCTTATCGTGTATATATGTATGTATGTTTAATATTTAACTTTTGAGGACAAAAGCAAAAACGACATGGAGGAATATTATACCAGTCCAAACTTACGTCATTTTAATTCACATATATTCCTATTAAAATTCCCTTTTAACAGGGTTAGAGATTAAGAATATTATGAGCTTTTTTCGTAATTAAACCCATTGTTAAACCTTAATTTTATAACTTTACAGAGTTACCTTAAGTGATTAAGACAGACAGTTAATCGGCAGGGTAATTGAGTGAAGTCTCTGAGGCAGAACTATTGCTAGATTAAAACAATAGGCTGGCTAATCCAATTAAGGCTGGCAGGTTAATTGGGATTGAGCAGTGACACTTAAATTAATCTGTATGCTGACCAATCGTAGGCCCATATACATTCCATGTCATGGAAACCTCAACTGTATTCTGGGACATACGAATTAGGTATATAAGTTCATGTTGCCTCTGAGGTTCTCATAATATACTTTACCAACGATTAAAACAACTGTCTTCTTGTCATTTAAGGTAAGCCAAAGTTAATGTAATATTTCTACTTGTCCTCTATTTTGAAAATTGAACTTGTTCGTTTATATAATTATTCGCCTTTAGTTATCAAGTTTTATATATTAATTGTTACGTTTTCGTTCAAATGTTGCGATAAGTATGCACGTTTTTATTTATTCTACAAAAGCAATTAAATTGATATCATCGATGCCGTAGAGTAATCCATAAACGCCTTTGCTTATAAGCTTGTGTTGCAAGTAATAGTCAATTACGGTATAGTAATAATTAATAGTGTCGATATTCCATTTTATTATTATCGACTCAAACATATATGACGTAATATATGAAGACATTTAAATCGTGCACATGTAAATAGTGCCTCTTCGCATGCCGTAGACTGGAATAGCAAGTCTGCTTCTACAGCGCTTGATATCCGTGTCTACGTATAAGCGAGTATCCCAAATATTTGTTTAAACCCCCCAATTTATAATTACTTCTTGTTTATCTAGTTTATATATTTGTTCTATTGCTCTTTTGTTACTTGTACTTATAATTACGTTATATATAATATACTTTACCAACGATTAAAACAACTGTCTTCTTGTCATTTAAGTTAATTAAGAAACCCCAGGAAACCCCCAAAATCAGACTTGCACACTACTATATTTTAATCTAACTGATTTATTGATTGGCTGAGTGATTGCCTGCAACTCAGTACTAACCTTTGATCACAATATGCATCTTTTCAAAAATCCACTTTTTAGGTTACATGTTGTCTGTCTTTCCGTCATATTTTTTTGTGACACAATAACTCTCCTTCTAATTGAGCTAGAATATTCATACTTGGTGTAGGTGTTTATTAGGTCAATGCCTTGATGGAGTTCGTAGATGCGCATTTTCTGCTTAGGGTAAGCAGAGATAAGCAATTTGGTTGGTTGATGCTTGGGACACAATAACTTTAGTTCTAATTAAGTAAGAGTGATGAAACTTGGTGTGTAGTTTCATTACATCAATACCTTGGCTAAGTTCGATAACGAGCACTTTCTGCTCAGGGTAATCCGAGCGATAAGCAATTTGATTGGCCGAGACTTTGGGACACAGTAACTCTCCTTTTTATTGAGGTAGAATGTTCATTAGGTGAATGCCTTGATCTAGTTCGATGATAAACAATGTCTGCTTAAGCAGAGATAAGCAATCTGATTGGTTGATGCTTTGGGGAACGATAACTTTGGTTATAATTAAGTGAGAGTGATGTATAGATTCATTATATCATTACCTTGACTAAGTTCGATAATGATAATTTTCTGCTTCGACTAAGGAGAGATAAGCAATTTGATTGGTCAAAACTTTGGAACATAACAACTCTGCTTTTAATCGAGGTAGAATGGTTAAACTTGATGTAGATGTTCATTAGGTGAATGTCTTGTCTGAGTTCAATGATAAACATTTCGAGCTAAAGCTAAGCAGAGCTAAGTAATTTCATTGGTCAATGCTTTAGGACAAGATAACTTTGATTCTATCTGATATAGAGTGATGAAACGTAGTGTATAGTTGATAATCAGATTGATTGCTTGTTACTTAAAAAAAAAAAAAAAATTGTGCGATACATTAGAATGTGTCATTTGTTTATTTTGGGATTTCGGCGGGGGACATCAGCCTCACTGTTGGCTTGTTTTAATTGCAATGAATTGGATTTGTGCCAGATAGATTTAATTTACTTCTTTGGTGCTATAAAATTTGAAGATAGTTAATTTGGAAATATTTATATGTGCCATAAAATGTAATTGAAATGTAATTGACCATTACTCATTAGGCTACTTTTTTATGGGGCGCCGTTTGTAAAATAATTATTTAATTATTTTTATAGCAAAAAACATTAGATTTAACTCCGAATATATATATTTAGATAAATATTAGAACAAAAATGGCATATATACTATTCAAAAAAAGTAGGGGATATTTGATTTTGGGGGCATAATACTAAAATATGCAAATGACTACGAAAAAAGTCACTATAGAACCTAACAGAAGAAACATTTCCAGTTACATGTGACGCCCAAACGCACCAATAGCTACCGCATGGAATGCAGGTGATGCTTGGGATCATCATGGGGGTCCAACCCAAGATTTGCACAACTCTGACTTTGAATGTTACAGTCATTGTGGCATTGAATTCTAGGGTGGAAACATCAGTTTAATTGTTTTAGTGACCAGAAAACAAATTTTGATATGCGTCGGCTTACTCAAAATGAAAGGTTACGTGCCCTTGGCATGCTACAGATCGGCACAACACAGGCGGTTGTGGCGCGGACGATGAATGTTTCTCAGTCTGTCATAAGCAGGCTATGGTCCAGATACCGTGATACACAATCTGTACAGGACAGACCACGCTCAGGTCGACCAAGGGCGACAACTCAAGCCCAGGATCGATTTATCCGTACCTTGGCCTTGAGAAATCGTGTCATCACAGCAAATCAGATCAGCGCTCGTCTTCAAACAGACACTGGTGTGAGAGTGAGTGGCCAGACGATTCGGAATCGACTGCATAGGGGTCACCTTCGCGCCCGACGTCCTCGCGTGATCCCTTGTTTGAGAGATCATCACATTCAGGCAAGACGTCGTTGGTGTAGGGATCGTCAGGATAATCGACGCTGGAGCAATGTGATGTTTTCAGATGAGTCAAGGTTCACTATTGATTTTTTGGACAGACGTAGGAGGGTGTGGCGTCGTCGAAACGAGCGCTTCCAAGACGTTAACGTCATCAGACATGATCGATTTGGGGGTGGTTCTGTTATGGTGTGGGGAGGCATCACTGTTGCTGGAAGAACGGCTTTACATGTTGTTGCAGGGCGTGTTACAGGCCAGTACTACCGGGACAACATCTTGGCAGTCCATGTTGTGCCGTTCGCACGACGTCATGGCCGCCGTTTCATCTTCCAGGATGACAACGCAAGATGTCACAGGGCCAGGATCGTTACAGGTTACCTCCAACAACAGAACATCACCACATTACCTTGGCCAGCACTGAGTCCCGACCTCTCCCCCATCGAGCATGTCTGGGACATGCTTGGACAGAGGTTACGTCAACGTCAACAACGTCCTGCCAATGTCCAAGAACTTGCTGCTGCGTTGCAACAGGGATGGGACAATCTGGACCAAAATGACCTTAGACGTCTCATTAGGAGTATGCCACGTCGGATCAATGCTTGTTTGGCAAACAGAGGAGGATTTACCCGTTACTGACTTGGTTGTGATGCTGTGGTAACTTTGCTGTTTGACCCCGGGTATCATTTTACCCTTATAATGGTCAGTCTGTGCCTTACTTAGTCTAACGATCATTTGGAATAAATCGATGAATGTGAACTTCATTTCATTTTGTCATTTGTTTCTTCGCCAGTTTCATTAGGGGACTTTAATAACACTTAAAAATCAAATATCCCCTACTTTTTTTGAATAGTATATGTAAGTATAAAAAAATATTGTAGCTAAAAGTCGAGTTTAGTTAAATATATAAACATTTGACTAAATATATAAACATTTGACTAAATATATAAATATTTAGTTAAATATATATATTTAGTTAAATATATATATTTAGTTAAATATATATATTTAGTTAACTAATTATATAAATATCATGCTAAATATATGTGTTTAGCTAAATGTATAAATATTTAACTAAATATATATTTGTGGTCCCGCCAATATTTCTATTATCGTAAGCGACACAAAAAACTGCGCATAAAATGATGACGTGTACCCGACACGTGAGCCTTGGCACAATAGGCCTACTAGCAATTAGAAATGGAAGCTGACCACGAACTTGTAACCCGAATTACGACCGCGGTACTCCGTGCCGTTCGCACAGATCAAGGCAAGGTGCAGTCAATGGAAAGTTGTACACTACGTCATCGTTTAGTGTGAAGTCGCTTACAACAATAATTATTTTACAAACGGCGTGGTACGGTTGCGCTTTGTAAATTTAACTATATGTTTAGCTAAATATATAATTATTTAGCTAAATATATAATTATTTAGCTAAATATATAATTATTTAGCTAAATATATAGCTAAATATAT